TGGGAGCCCATGTGCAGCAAAAATCCCCCTCAGTACTTAGTCTTTGCAGTGGTGGTGGAAGAGACAGGTACAACCTCAAGCCATTTTGAATGGCTGTCAACGAGGACCAAGAAGAATTGACCCTGAAAGGGCCCAGCGTAGTCAATGTGCGCCCTAGACCATGGAGACTGTGTTTCCTCCCATCTATGCACAGGAGCTTGGGGCATTTCAGGGCGTGAGCATTGACAAAGGTGGCAAGCATGCACCTTAGCTTCTATATCTTTGTCTACACCTGGCCACCACAAATGGCTGCGTGCAAGAGCCTTCATGCGTACAATGCCAGGATGACCCTCGTGGAGGGAATCTAGGACCCTAGTCCTCATTGAGGTGGGAATGACAACTCTGCTTCCCCAAAGCAGACAACCCTGAGAGGTGGACAACTCGTTCCTTTTAGACCAGAAACTCTGAAACTCAGGACTAGGACAGTGCTCAGGCCATCCAGACAAAACACAAGAAAGGACACGTGAAAGTGTGTGATCTGTGCCTGATTCAGCGGCTACATCCCTGGCACTCAGGGGGGACTCGGGCAAGGCTTGAATGGAGAGAGTATTGATGGCTGGCGCGGGGTCAGCCTCTATTACCGACAGGGGTAATCTACTGAGGCCATCAGCATGGCCCATTTCCTTCCCAGGCTTGTGAAGTAGGGAAAAATCATATGCAGACAAAAAGATAGACCACCTGAGCATCCTGGGGGAGATGATTTGGGGGGTTTGTTTACGTGTGGTAAACAGTCCCAACAAAGGCTTATGGTCAGTGAAGACCGTGAAATGCCTACCATATAAAAAATCATGGAATTTTTTAATTCCAGCAACAACAGCTAAGGCCTCCCTGTCTATTTGAGCATAATTGCGCTCAGCTGAAGACAATGTTCTGGAGTAATATGCAACAGGAACCTGAGTTCCATCAGCCCTGAGGTGGCTCAGTACAGCACCCACCCCGTAAGGGGAAGCATCACAAGCGATGCACACAGGAAGGGACTCATTGAAGTGAGCAAGTACACTGTTAGAAGTGAGCAAGGCCTTGACCTCATTGAAACTGGCCTCATGAGTTTGTGACCACTGCCATACTGCCTGTTTATCTAATAGCCTATGAAGAGGCTCAGCTACACTAGCCTTGTGTGGAAGAAAGGAATTGTAGAAATTCAGAAGGCCCAGAAAAGCCTGTAGTTCGGCCTTAGACTTTGGCCTAAGGGCTTGCATAATGGCTTTTAGTTTGGATTCAGCAGGATGAATCCCAGCAGCATCAATTTTGAACCCCAGAAACTCAGTAGAAGGCACGCCAATTTTACATTTGTCCTTCTTCAGTTTGAGTCCCGTTTCCCTGAACCTTAATAGGACAGCCCTTAGCCTTTCAACTAGAATGTGTGTGGAGTCTCCTGCAATTAAGACATCATCAAAATAGGGGCAAACCCCTGGTATACCCCGTAGTGTGTTTTCCATTACGCTTTGGAAAATCCCAGGAGCGACATTTACTCCAAATTGAAGTCTCTTTACCTTGAAAGCTCCTCTGTGGGTCACAATAGTCTGAGCTATAGCAGCGTCACCGTCAACAGGCAGCTGTTGATATGCTTGAGCTAGGTCAAGCTTTGCAAAAACGCGCCCCCCCCCCTTGAGGGAGGCCAGGATGTGACTGACCACAGGAACAGGATAGGCATGTTGCTGCAATGCCTTATTTAGAGTGCATTTGTAATCAGCACAGATGCGAATGTCCCCATTTGCCTTAAGAGGCGTGACAATGGGGGTCTCCCATGGACTGGAATCAACTGGTTCTAGAATTCCCTGTTGGATCAGTTTATCCAATTCAGTGTCAATTTTACTCTTTAAAGCAAAAGGGACCCTTCTTGCTTTAATTCTAATGGGAGTGACGGTGGGGTCTAGCTTTAAGGACACAGGAGGTCCTTTGAACGTGCCCAGCTGGGGGCTGAAAACATCTGCAAATTCTTTGCAGACTTCCTGTAGGTCGAGTGTTTGTAGGCTGTTGAGCCCTGTGACGTGTATTCCCAAGGCCTCAAACCAATCGAGTCCTATGAGACTCGTTCGTTCACCCCCTACTACTAATATGTCTAGTGGACCTTCAAAATCCTTATGCTGTACGTTAAGGGTGGCCTCCCCCTTAACACACACTCTGGAGTTTTGAAAGTCTGTTAACACAATATCAGAAGGCCTCAGCTTGGCCTGAGTTCCACTACCGGAACAGATCTTTCTAAAAGTGTGCATAGAAATGATCGAAAGTGCAGACCCCGTATCCAGTTCCATAGTTAATGGAACCCCTTGTAGCTTCACTTTAAGTGACAGCTTTTTCTTAATGGGCTTGTGTGTGCCTGTCCTGTAGATGCTTCTTCGCGAAGCACAAAACCCCACCCTATTCTGGCTGGGGACCCTGGTACCTTTCAGGCGCAATTCTTCCTGAGGTTGTACCTTCTGACGGCCCAGGCACACAGCTGCAATGTGTCCTTGTTTTCCGCACGCCCGGCAGATAGCGGAGCAGAACTTGCAGTCGGCTCTCTTGTGGCAACCTCCACAACCGATGCACTTGGGGAGAGCTGAAGAGCTTCCTCTTGGTTTTCCTTCCTTTGTGGGGTGGAGACGGTCCACTTCCTCGTCCGGATCCTCCTCAGAGTTTCTTTGGACTTCTTCCTGGTGCACAGATGCAGCATCTGGACTGTTTCTGATCGGCCGCATGTTCTTGATGGCGCCGCCCGCTGCTTCTTCTGCGGTGACCTCTCTCAAGGCATCTTGGAAAGACAAGTCCTCCTTGGCGAAAAGTCTCTGTTGCAACTCTCGATGCCTTAGCCCGCATACAAACCAGTCCCTCAATCGTTCTTCGAGGTCCTTGAACTCGCAATGTTTGGCGGCTTTCCTCAGTGCAGCGATGTACTCTTTGGCCGATTCTCCGGGTCGTTGATCCCTCTGCTCGAAGGTGTGGCGCCACGCGATGACGGACATCTTAGGTTGGAAGTGTTCCTTCAGTAACTTTTTTAGATCTGCGTAGCTGACAGACTCTAAAGGAACAGGTGCTGCGAGGTTCTCCGCGATTTCGAATGCGTCTTGACCGCAAACGCACAGCAGGGTGGCAGCCTTCAAGCTCTCTTCCCTCACCTGGTTCACCTTGAGGTAGTTTTCCACCCTGGCTGCGTAGGACTCCCACCTCTCTGGATGTGAGACGTCGAATTCCGAAAGCCTTCCAATCTTCGCCATTTCATATCAGGAAGGGTCTATCAGCCAGCCTACCCCCGAATGCACGCTGGATTGGCGGGTAGCTGTCGAGTCAACGCCGTTCCTGCCGCTCCGGACTCACTCGGGTAAGCTTACACCTTCTCTTTTCCGATGTAAGGCAATCCCATCCTCGTCACCAGTGTTGAGTCCGTCGCGAAATGGTAAGACACGAGAAGCAGTTGTAGTTCTCAGGAAACCTTTATTCTTCAGTTCAGCTTACATTGGAATATGGCGGCAATGCCCAAAACTCTCGGCCTCCTTTTATAGGCCTTTCCCGGGTCAATCTGTTACTTTTGGCGCGCCAGCACCTGCGCATGCGCACATGTACTGGCGACAGCCTGTCTGGTCCCGGGCAGCTTGCACCTGTCCGGGACTGTCCGCAATGCCCCGAGCCTGCTTGCACAGGCTCAGGACATAACAAAAACTACAGAATTTGAAGAAGGAAAACTAAGAACTTCCCAGTTGACATTGCAAAGGGACTGTATCAGAAATCAAAGTGAACTGGACACCTGTTTACAACTTTCAAAATTATGAGGAACTGTGTTCTCAAATTACATAGCAGTTATTTCTTGTTTGCATATCTATTCATTTAAATAGGTATGTATGCATAAGGTCAATGCTTGATTAGGAAGAAAAAAGATGAAAGAAGAGAAGGAGGAGGAGGAGGAGAAGAAGAAGAAAAAGGATGAAACAGAAGGAAAAAGAGGATGAGAGAAGGAAAGAAGGAAGGAAAAAGAATGATAGGTAGGTAGATAGATATGATAGATAGATAGATAGATAGATAGATAGATAGATAGATAGATAGATAGATAGATAGATAGATAGATAGATGGCTTTTTTTGTCATAGAATGCCCAGAACGGAGTTCCAGCACCTTTTTTGGATGGAACCTTGTAGGGTAGGCATGGCAGATTATATGACATGTGTGAGTCTTTTTTTTTTTTTTACAAAAAAAGCACTGGATAGATAGATAGATAGATAGATAGATAGATAGATAGATAGATAGATAGATAGATAGATAGATAGATAGATAGATAGATCACGTAAAGCAAGCAAGGTGCTGGCTGAGGAAGTTCACATATCTTACAACTGCCAGGTTGAGAAATATTGTAATTTATTAAATAAATAAATAAAACCCAACCCTTGCTATAAAGCTTTTACTGTCCTCCTTTTCCATTTGCAATAACAATGTGATATGCTGAAAATACCTTCCACCTTCAAAGGAATTAAAAATGACAGCAAAAGGAGAGAAAACCTCCAAAATAAACCAACTCACCTCAGTTCTCCACCCATTAATAGCTTAACACACCATATCCAATTAAAGCAAATTACAGGATTTGATTATTTTAAATGCAGGGGGGGGCACTTCCAGACTTTCAAGCACATCTGTTGTCTATACAGAAAGAAGCTGATTAACATGTTTTTTTAGATTTTTTTTATCCCACCCTTATTATTTTTATAAATAACTCAAGGCAAGTGAGCATACCTAATGCTCCTTTCCTCCTCCTATTATGAATATGAAAATTAAAGACAGTACCAGATGGCATATGAACTGGATAACATTCAGAGGACACTAGAGTAGATTTCATTGTGAACATCTCAGTGCACACAGCCTGACAAACACACAGACCCACCAATAATCCTGCTAGACAGATAACTGTTGAAAATCTAGCTCTTGGGGAACTTAATTTTACCCACTGGGTGGTGCTTATCCAGTTCAACAAGTTCCTGTATAGGGTGTGGTGCTGCTACCCAGAGGCTGGATTTTGACTGTTCTTCCTGCTTGTTTTCTTACTTATGCACAGTGGATTAGTCAGTATGCACTGTGGTTTGGGACTTCTGCTCCAACCACTCTGTGGCCGTGACTGATTGCTCTGCTCCATGGCCACTTCCGACCAAACGGATCAGGTATTGGGTCTTCAATCAGATGTTTGCTGTGTGGTGGGTTACCTAAACCCCTGAAAGATGCTGACAGTTTCATAACTGTGATTTATTTCCAGGCATGGATCCCCAAATATTTCAAGAAAAAAGTCTGCACAACTTTCATTGAGCAACCTAGTGATACAGGGTGAGTAAAGCTTGATTTTTTTTCTGCTGCTTGAGATATATGTAAGCAGGCACTTCTAGCTTCCTCTGAGGCTCATTTACAGTTTAGCGTTTCTAATTCATCTCTCAAATCTGTACTCTGATCCCTATGTGAGGCCTAAGCTTCACTCACACTAACCATATTTTACATTTCACCACTGCTAACCTCTGGGCAGAACATTTTGGCTCAATGTATGCAGGGCATCCTCTGTGCCATGCTTTATTCCAGCTATTTTCTCTTTCTCACCATTGATTTAGTCATCTTTGCAACTGAAGCATTGCCTCAGGATCTGGCTAGTGGATTGGGAGAGAATGTTACAGTAGCTGCTATTTTCTTGGCCATCCCTCTATTTTGGAAGGTAGAGTTGTATGTGGCCTGAATCTTTGTATTGGCTTTTCAAATAATCAGCTTTAGTCAGATGATGTGGAGAATGATTTTTGTTTATACAGAAACAAGATGCAAATTAAACCCTATCAATTTTTAAATGGGTATGTGGAAAGGCATCTTTTTATCTTCTCTTTTGATAATAAAATTCTGTTTCTAAACAAGCCCTCCGCACAGATTCCCTCTGCTTTGCTCTCTCTTTGTTCTGTCTCCTACCCACTGTCCACTCTCCCAGGACTTCAATTTCCAGTACCTTTTTTTGGGTTCATCCATGACTCTATATCATTTCTCTCTTTGTTCTGCTGCTTTAACTCCATCCCTTCTCTTTTTGAAGTTGTAGAATTACATTTCAAAATGCATGAACACCTCTGAAAGATAGTAGTAACGTTCAGAAGTATTTGTATTTGGCAACAATTATCCTATCTTATAAACACCTTTATATTGCATAGCTCCCAAAATATGTATTTTGTGTGCTGTCATTTCTTTTATTGTTCTTAGGCCAAATATCACTTTCTGATTATGATCACCTCAGAGTCTTCATTTTCTGAAGTTAAGCATAGATTGTTCCTTCACATTTCCAAATTCCTCAAATTCTTTGTCCTTCCTGAATCTCTTTCAGTTTGCTTATCTCAAGAATGAGGGATCTGTTGACCTTCACAAATTGTTGGCTCCAAGTTCCTTCAATCCCAGCCATTTTGGCCAGTAACCAGAGATAATAGGAACTAAAGCCAAACATCTACAGAACCATTGATTTGTTCTATATCCTTCTTCAGGCCACACTCAAAGTTGAACACACGACTACACCTAGTAAAAATAAGTAACTCAGTGCAGATTGATTAAATAGTGCATTTGTTCCAGAACTTTTCCTTTATATATATGTTTCTCCCCCCAACTGTTGCTAGGAATTACCTATATCTAAACATTACTGAATTACAGAGTAAACTGGGAAACCAGTTTCGTATAGTAATTAAGACATTAGATTATCAGGAGATTGTGAGTTTTAATTAGTCCTATTTTTGGCCCAAAGCCAGCTGTCTAAGCTTAGGCCAATCACTCTTTCTCAGCCTTAATAAGAAGGCAATGGCAAACCAGTTCCAAAATCTTGCCAAGAAAATTGCATTGACTGGTCTGTACAGTTGCCAAGAGTCAACATTGACCCAAAGGAGCATCCCCCTCAAAAAAACCCTCACTTCAGAGTATTAAATTATATAAAAGATATATATTTATTTATTTATACTTCAGATTTCTAAACCGCTCATTGCCCTCATGTTGTTATACTGGGCCTTGGAGTTACAGGTGCAACCTTATTCTAATCCACATCATTTTGTTTCACAGTGCTTCCAATTTCTGTCAGTGTGGCAGTCCTCGTAAAAAACATACATCAGTAGCCATAGAAGATGCCTTTGGAGCAGCCATTGTCAGCAAATGGGACTCAGCGCAACACACGACAGAGAGGCCAACTGATGCGTATGGAGAGGTGGAATTTGTAGGCACTGGTCGTAGACCGAGCAAGGTGAGCTTGTGATAGGACAAGAATTCCAGAGGATGAAGTCAAGATTATGGCAAGAGACTGTGGCTCTAAAGACAAAGCAACTATTTCCCAGTCTTAAATGCAATGACAAGGAGGACATATGTAGTCAGGGATGACCTAATGATAGTATATTGGAGGATAAAGCAGGAGCACTAAGAAGGACACGGGTCTGAAACAAGATGAAGATCCATAATTCCCCTCCTTGTTTCTTCCTGCCAAATTTACTCTTTTATTGACCATATCTTCTAGCTGGCTATTGAACTGGCCACTTTCTAGGTAGCTGTTTGAATGAGTGCTCATAGCAATCATTGCCATACTGACTCCCTTTGCAGATAAATACTCCAGACTCTTATAAAGCATCACATGGAAAAGTCTCTCAAAATGGGCCATATCGGGCAACAGCTACATGAAGAGAAAGACGATGAGTCCAGAGAGTAAGATGCCTAAAGTGTAACAAAACACGGATGACTCTAATATAGATAAAGCTATTCAGGGTTTGTAGTCTCTTTGGTCTCATCCTTTTTTTCTCCCTTGCAGTTCATTCGCCTCTCCGACTCAACTGATCCTGCAAATGCCTATGCTTTAGTAACCCATCACTGGAAAATCCCACATCCCAACTTGGTGGTATCAGTGGTGGGAGGCGAAGGTGAGGGACCCGTAAGGACTTGGCTCAAAGATGTGCTGAGAAAGGGGCTGGTTAAAGCAGCTCAGAGCACAGGTAATCTCTTTCTGTGGTTTGTTTTAATTTTAATAACTGTTTTAAAACATCACTGTAGAACAGTGGTTCTCAACCTTTTTAATGCCACGACCCCCCAACCGGTCGTAAGTCGAGGACTACTCAACCGGTCGTAAGTCGAGGACTACTCAACTGGTGCAACACCGTTTGCAGAATGGGACTTTTGGTGGGCTCAGCAAGGCAGAGACAGCCTGGACAATTCCTATTGGCTTTTGAAAGCCAATAGAATTAGACTCTGTTCAAGAGAGTCTATTCCAGGGGTAGGCAACCTCGGCTCTTTTATGACTCATGGACTTCAACTCCTAGAATTCCTGAGCTAGCTATGCTGGCTCAGGAATTCTGGGAGTTGAAGTCCATGAGTCATAAAAGAGCCGAGGTTGCCTACCCCTGGTCTATTCTATTAGCTTTCAAAAGCCAATAGAATAAAAGGGAGTAGCACAGCTAAGGAAAAGGGGGAAAAAAATGGCAGACTGCGTTGTTTGGCGACCCCCGTGAAATGGTCGTTCGACCCCACATGGGGTCCCGACCCACAGGTTGAGAACACTGCTGTAGAACAAGGGAATGAAGCTTTTGAACGGAGGGTTGGGAAACCAACAGTTTGATGTGGGATAATTTGAATAATGACGATTGAGTGTGTTAGAGTATCTTTACCCTTGAAACAGTTGGGTAAGAAAGGATTTCTTGGATGTAAAGTCATTGAAAGATATGTGTGCATATTACATAGCAACTAGGTAAAACTAAGTAAACATGCTTCTCAGTTTAGATTTCTTGTATATAAAAAGAATAGGAATATCTAGCATGTTTTATAGTAGTATAGTTACAATGTTGTACAAATTTGACTCGATCTGTTCTGCTACATAGTTTTTTAATCACATTTGAAACTGCTGGTTAACTGTTTTGCAGCTATTAGAAACTTTCAGAAAGATAAGTTTTATAGCACTGGGTGAACTCCCCTCATATTTTAGCAAAAGAAGTTTTGAAATACAAATTTAAGGATTTAAAATCTTGTTTTAGACACAGCCAGAAGGTGATTAGAATGTTGACTTTGCAAAGTTGCTATTGCAATAAGGGTCCGGATGGCTTTGAAATAAGATTTTGAAATTACTTAAAAGAATCTTTTCTGTGGGAAAGTGCTGTTATTTTGAATTTCAGAAAAAATGATAGGATGGGAAGGTTGAATACTAAAGGAAATGCAAAGAAACTAACAATTGCAATTAAAGGGGAAGAACATTTAAATTTGACTTACTAATGCAGAATGGAACAAAATACTTAAGGATATTTTGAACAATGGACCCAGAAGTTAATTTTAAGAATGTCACCATTATATATAGACTATCTTTAAAAGATATTATGGAAGAGGAAAAAGTTTCAAAGGACAAAATTGAAATTGATCTGAAAGTGGATTTAAATATGATAGACTATAAGAATATACCTGCAAAAAAGTGCTACACTGGATATATAAATAAAATTAACTGATGTCTTAATAATTCAATGGATATGCTAACAACAAACTAAAGGAATGAGGTGGATAGCTTTCTTATATTGGATTTACAAAAAGAGACTTTTGTGAGTAGAGATAAATTAAAAAATGAACAAAAATCAAGTTCTAAGGCATTGCATAATACAGAATTTGAGAACTGTATATACTGCTGGTAACATTTACTAAAGTCTTCAGTTTGTTGGGTGGTGAATTATGTCTGTTTAATCTACATCTACTAACAAGATAGGGTGGTGGTGGAAATATTGAAACCTTTGTCCATGGTTGGCAAATTGTATATGTTTGACTAAGACTTTTCTGATACAACCTATTGCATGAGTAAAAAAAGGTGTGGAGGGAGGGTGTGTTTATTCAGCAGGGAACACACTTACGTGGACAAATTCTCCCTTCCTTAAGGGTGCCTTTTTTTAAAAAAAAAAAAATGCTGACGTGTTTCTGGTTGTGAATCAGCAATCATATTTGAAAAGGTAGTGCTGGGTCTATGGATGGGTGGATGCTGAGAAGGCTGGTTTTAACTTGATTGATCCTTTAATGGGTACCTTTTTGAGATAAGAGTTTATACTGCAACAGGGTTCAGGTTGCAGTTTGTTTAATGGTCACGCATGGCCATTTCTCAATCGCATGGGCTACTATAATAGATCTAGCTGAGTGATAGTAATAAGGGAAATATTCAGGCATAATTCTGATAGCTTGGCTTAGGATTCTACAAAGTTTGATCATGTTTTTCAACATGATTTCTTAAACTGTCTCTTTTTTAAAAAACCTGAATAACACTTAATTTAATAAGTTAACTTAAGTTAATACTTAACTTCAGTTCAATATTCATATGATTTCCAAACACTGAAATACCGTAAATGGCCAATACACTTATGTACTATAACTCTTACTGTATTTATTACTCCTACATAGGTGCCTGGATTATGACAAGCGGTCTTCAAGCTGGTGTGGGCCGGTATGTGGGGGAAGCGGTGAGAGACCACGCTATGGCCAGTACGAACCGCAGCACTCATGTTGTAGCAATGGGCATTGCTCCATGGGGTATCGTTGAAGAGCACCATTGTCTTGTCAACCCCAAGGTAGGAGGGTTGCAGAAGGGAAATGCTAACAGAGATGATGAATTAAGCCTGGGAAGTTTAACACAGAGTTACAGATTGAGGTGGGATAGACAACATAGACACCTCCTGGAACCTATAGACATCATCCATAAGAGCCCCCACTCAAGTTTAATATAAAAAATAGGAAAATAATACATGAAGAGTGAGTTACTTTAACTGTATTTAAATAATTTGATTAAACTAATTCAGTTAACTATTATAGTGCTGGCTTTATCTATTTTGTTAGCCTTGCACTGTATGTTCTATATCTCCCAGGTTGCCACTTAATTCTTGATCTCTCAAAAGTTGAGTTCCTAATTTAGCTCAAAGTGACAAAAGACAATAATGCCTGTCTTTACCCTGTTTGATTAATTTACTTCTTTTCTTATTCCAAAGGGTTCCTTCCCAGCACGTTACCCCAGGACAAATCCTGCGAGTCCTTTCTGCCCTCTAGACGCCAACCATTCTGCCTTCTTCTTGGTGGACAATGGGACACTGGGCCGAGCAGGGGGAGAGGCCATCTTCCGAGCCCATTTGGAACGCTATATTGCCCAACAGAAAGTGGGAGCTGGAGGTGAGGAACTTATTCCATGTAGACAGGAACATAAAACATGGAACAGGAAGTTATCCTGTTTATCATGCTCCCTGCAACAGACTAATAGTATTTTCTTGCTTCCAGATGGGTCTGACTTCAGCTTCTATAATCCTTGGATAGCTAAATCTAAATTGCAACTTAATATATTTGGATTACACCCCTTAAAATGAGGCCAAAGAGCTAGCTTTCTCAGGGTGAAAAATAAGCTCTGTGTTCAGGGGTGCCTGCCTGGAGATGAGGGTCCATCCAGACTCACAACTTTGATGCTCTCCTCTGATTCTATTTCCTTCATTTTTGCATCTTTACTTTATGAGAAGAAACCCCTCCTGTTTTATAAGTCTCTAACTCTAACCTTCTTGCTGACTCCACTGTGTCTACAACAACAGTTTATCTCTCCTTTTGATCAAATGACCCTCTTTCCTCCGATTCTTTAAGAAATACAATGTTCTGGCAAGCCTCATTACAGACACTTTGCACTTAAATAATAAAAAGTAATTCCAATAATTACTCCCAAGCTGGACCATAACCAGAGAGCTATACTGGTTAATCCATATTTACTCAGAATTCTGTGGATCACTTTCCTCTTCCTCTATGCCCCTGGTTAACTTTTCTTCACAGAAATTTCTTTTCTTCTGCACTGATCTTGAAAAGCTAGGCAGGTTTGAACCAGGATAATACTTACATGAGGAAATGAAAGGAGCCCCTGCAGATTTTATCTGCTAGTTATTGCTGACTACAGGAGGCCAGGCTCATCTCTGTTTCAAGGCTCTTGAGACAGTGCTAGCCAAAGACGTTTCTGTGGTCATGTGGTCAGGTTGACGTCATGGAGAACTGTTTCCTCCCCCGGTACCTATTTATTTATTTGAATTTGCATGCTTTCAAACTGCTAAGTGGGCAGTTGCTAAGTGAAGATGGGCACTCACTTTGTTGCATGATGCTTGGGTCTCAAACCTGGGCTCTAGGCTTTCTAGCTGACAAACCCAGCGTCTTAACCACTGAGCCATCACTCTGTCCAAGAGATGATCCATCGCACCATCACTTACACAAGAGCCTCCAGAAAATCTATGGAGGTTCTCAGTCATCCAGATATGGTTGTCCCAAAGGTGCTTTTTTTTTTCAGGAGGCAACTGGACTTCCTTGTGTTTCTTTTGAAGATGTTTTACATTTCATGCAAGAAGCTTCTTCAGCTCTGACTAGATGATGGGGAGGGGAAGGATTTATAGTGCTTGCAGACAGATGGTCATTTGCATTCTTTTAGAAAGTCGTTGAGGCCACTTGGAGGGTTTACCTGTGTCCTCAAGGTCACAGGAGTAGTGCAAATGTGTGTGTAACTTTCTAGCTGCAGAATGTTTTCTGCCCTGTGTCCCTTCACTGCTGAAAATAGGCACAGGCTGTTGGGGATGAGGCTGTGCTATCTGAATCTCAACTGAAGCACAAACAGTTCCTGTAGTCTGCAATATATTCTGGAAATCCATTCATACTCTTTCACCATTCGAAGGGTGTTCATCCCAAAGTGCATAGCTAAACATCTATGGAGGTTCTCAGTCATCCAGGTATGGTTGTCCCAAAGGTGCTTTTTTTTTCCAGGAGGCAACTGGACCTTCTTGTGTTTCTTTTGAAGATGTTTCGCTTCTCATCCAAGAAGCTTCTTCAATTCTGACTAGAAGAAGTTTCTTGGACGAGAAGAAAAATATCTTCAAAAGAAACACAGGAAAGTCCAGTTGCTTCCTAGAAAAAAAAAGCATCTTTGGGAGTCTAGGCAAGACTGAAAAGTAGGAAAAGTAGGAAAAAAGCACCCCAGTAAAAAGCAATGGAACAAATCACTTTCCTACAATATGATGTATTTTTATCATGTATTACGATTCAAACTTAGTTTGAGGAGATCATTATCTTGGCCTTAGTTTCTTCTCAGAGTGATAGCAAAAAAGTTTACATTTGGTCTTCCAACATCATTTTACTTGGACTTGGTCTGGCCATTGTTCCCTTAATTAATTTTCCCCATTTTGCCATTCTTCCACTCTATAGGTGAAGGGAGCATTGAGATTCCTGTGTTGCTGCTGCTCATCAGTGGGGACTCAGCCATATTCAAGGTAAAGGAATTGAGGTATTGTGGAAGAAGATGAAGAGTTCTTGAACAGAAATAGAAATAGATTTTTTTCTTGAATTTTCTTGAACAGAAATAGAAATCAGACTTTAGGGAAGTGGTCCATAGTTCCACTCCAAGGATAACAGGGTTAAGTTATCACATTTGGATGTGAAGGAATGTAACCCTTTTTCCAGTGAAAGAGTGCTCCATAAAATTGGGAGAGAGAAAAAAATTAATTTCAGGAGAAAGCAATAATAAGATCATTAAGTCCAAAGTTGCAGTTACCTAAATTGCTGTGGCTTAGGAAGACAAAGAACAAACACAGAATTGAAGAAAGGAATAGACCAAGATGGAAACTTTGGTCTTCTTATGCATAGAATATGGAATATGGGGGGGGGAGATGAGTAAAACTTATGATGCAATTCATTTGTGTTAAAAAAAATGAAAGATTCTGAAAATAGAAAATGGACAAGGCATTCTGGAAACAAATCCAGAGATGGAGAGAAAGATCATGAAATGTGTGATAGCAAATAATTATCCTTATGGAAGAAAGTGTGAGGGGAAAAATATATCCAGGTTTTGAGTGTGTAAAGATATGTGGGACAATAACAATGAAAGGAGAGAGTTAAAGATCTGAGGTCATGGGAGTTAAGAACAGCAGTGAACCTGATCAGACATGAACAAATAAAAACGCAGAGGTCAAAGATGAAGAGAAAGACAATGAGGAATGGTTGGGGATGATGAAGCTGGTTGGAGATGATGGGAAAAGATGAAACACTGGATTGGGGAAGGCTGGCTTTGTGGTTCCTTCCTGAAGCGCACACTACTCATACCAGTTGCTTCTGTCTTGTTCATTTCCTAAGCGTGTATCGGAGGCGGTGCATGCCTCCATTCCCTGTCTTCTCCTAGCTGGATCTGGGGGAGCAGCAGACTGCTTGGCTGAATTGTTGGAAGAGACACAACCTGGGGAGTCCCTGAAAACTCTGGCAATGAAGAAAATGCAGGGAAAATTCCCAGACAATGACTTGGAGGAGTTGGCTGAGCAGGTAAGATCTAGATCAAAACTGCATTCCTATTTTCTTCTGCTCTAGACCAGAGCTTTTCAACCAGTGGTGCATGTACCACCTGTAGTATTTTGGCACATGGCAGGTGGTATACGACCATCCTAGAGAAGTGTAGTTGGAGAAGGGAATGAGCCGAAGCGACCCAAGCCTGAGGGAGAGGCAACTGCAGCGGCAGGACTGTCGGGGCTTGACAGAAGCCCCAAGAACTCTGGCAGAGCTTCATCTGATTCCGAAAACAGCAGGGAGCTGGAGGTGAACTGAAGAAAAAGGGGGGAGGAGAGGAGAGGCTATAAAAGCAGGTGGTTTTGGCAGGAAAGGGGGGGGGGAAAGACAACAGGGAAAGAGAAGGGGACGGAGATGAAGCTGTGGAAGGAGAGCTCAGCAGGCAGGGAGGAAAAGAGACAGGGAAGAAGCAGCAGCTGTTGCTGAAAGAAAAGCTCCCCTGGTTCGTTTTCTCCAGCCAGGAGAATGCAATCAGCTCTGATGAAATGAAAAGCCGGGAGACAAGCATATTGGAAAGGAGGTGGGTTTATTTAGTTTTGGATCAGCTGGCAGTTTGATTGGGTTACCATAAGGATTTTTGTGCAGTTTTTACAGCGTTTTGTAATTCAGAGCCTCGGTTTATCTGCTTTGGTTATTGGAATATTTTAGTCTGTTTCAGAAAGGCTAACAATGAGTCAAAAATGTTGCTTTCCATAGGTTTAATCCCTTTAAACAAATGTAATTAGTTTTACCCCCTTATCTTGAGTCTTTCTATGGCTTTTAGAAAGTTTTCTTTGAAGGTAAACAGGCTTAATTTAAGGCTAAAGCTTTTCGCAATTACCAGAGCCTTTCAGTCTTGGGTTGCAACATTATGATACGTGATACCCCTGAGTCAGCTTAAAGAAAAAAAACCCAGAGTTTATGTGTTTCTTTATTGTGGGAGGTTTTTGTGAGCCTTTCTTGTTTTGCACTTGGTTTCTGTTTCTTTAAGGATACAGGGAAGGGATTAGGGGGAGGTGCATTCTTACTACACTGTGGAAGGAGAGCTCAGAAGACAGGGAGGAAGAAGAGGAGAGGGAGAGAGGAAGAAGGTCTGACTAGCTAGCTCAGGGGTCTACCAACTTAGCAACTTTAAGACCTGTGGACTTCAACTCCCAGAATTCCTCAACCAGCCATGATGGCTGAGGAATTCTGGGAGCTGGTCTACAAGTCTTAAAAGTGCCAAGTTTGAAGACCCCCGAGCTAGCTGGTAGTGGTGCATATTAATAAACATGGATAAATTCATCATATATTTGTCAGTGCAAAGGGAAAGTGATTCAGCAAAGGAACAACCACCGAAGCAATTAAAACTAGTACTTTTTTCCTTTTTTTACATTTGTAATATTTTATTAGATTATAAAATAAAATACAAAAATACAAAAGCAAATAATAGGACATAGTGGGGAAGAAAAGGGAGGGAAAAGTGAAGGGGAGAAGGGAAAAAGAACATACTTCCTCTGTTGCAGTAGAAGGAAGCATTACATTGAACCTTAACTTTTTACTTTTCCATATTACAATAAACTAGCCATTTCTATAACAACAAATGAATCTAATCAGTAAAACCCAAAATCCCCCCCTCTTTTTTTTTAGTCATCAAGTTTTGACAACATGCTAAGCACTGGTGGTACTCAAATATTGTCATGTCCTAAAAGTGTTACAATCTGTGAAAAGGTTGAAAAGCCCTGCTCTCGACTACATTTCAGAACTCAAAAGTCCAAAAGTTATTGGCTCTGAAGAAATGTCTGTCTGTCTGTCTGTCTGTCTGTCTGTCTCTCTCTCTCTCTCTCTCTCTCTCTCTCTCTCCCTCCCTCCCCCCCCTCTCTCTCTCTCTGTGTCTGTATGATTTTTCCAAGATAAATGTATTGACCTCTCTTCATGTCTTCTTGTCAGGCGGAAAGCATTGGGAATCTGAGGGAATTGGTGACTGTCTATTCAGACCAAGAAGGTTTGGAAGAATTCGAGACTGTCCTGCTTAAAGCTCTAGTGAAAGGTAATTAGTTCAACACTAATCAACGATGGGCAGCTTTTTCGCATAGTAGCAATGGACAAAAATGTGCAGTCTCAAACGATGGACACCATTAGATTACATTGAAATTAGGAAAAAACTTACATCACCAAACCCCCAAAACTTTCAGCAATTTTATGGCTGGAATCTCATTGAATAACTGAATTCATAGAAGACTTAGTTCTATTGATGTGTGTGTTTCTATAATGTATTAGCTTAACATAATGCCAGACCTTGTTAGTTAGCTGTTGAGTTTGATTTCCCATTTTTATCAAACCTTCTCTATCTTTAAAAAAACAGTATATATATCCCATATTTCAGAATTCAGACCCCATGAAGACATCTTATAGATACCATCTTCAGTTATAAATAAAAACAAAATATAGTAAATAATATTTTATATATTTAAATATATATTTAAAAAGAAAAGCAAGTTATAACTCACTCAAGGAAGAGAGCAATATTAGTCTAAGTAAGATGACACAAAATCCAACTAACGCATTTTATTAAAAGACCTAAGCTTTTGTGGGAAGATCACAAAAACCTATGATTTTTAATAAGATTTTTTTTAGTCAGATAAGATTCTATTCCTTTTAATTTTAAATCAGGGGAAATGATTGTGAGCTTCATTCTGTGTACTCTGTTCTGGCATGAAGCTACTGTAGATTCTAAGCTGACCATATGCAGAAAGCATTCAGATAAAGGAATGCGCCATGCCCATCTCCACATACTATTTGGCATATGACTGGATCAGGTAAATTGGGGGCTTTGGTAAAAAAAATATGATTACCCATCCTTTTAAATAAACAAATTCAGTCCCAGTTAGTTATGTTTTTTTAAGATCATGAGAAACAGTAACTGTGTCTTTTTATTTTAATATAATAGAAGTTAACATTATATGGAATATTTAGACATGAGTTTTTTTAGTTTTTTATCCCCAAAGGATTTCATTGCTGGATTCACTAAATTCCAGTTCTCAGAATTGCTTTTCCCAATTACATAAGAGATATCATAAACATCCTAAGAAGATTGAACTCCATAAGAAATCTCCCTGGCAACTCTATGTATTTGCAAATAGTGGCACAGCCATGAACACGCGTGGCTCCTAAATATGTAAACATCTTTATGGCTGTCTTAGAATACAATTTTCTCAACTCCCAGGTATGAAGTCCCTACTTCATTTGAGATTAATTGATGAGATAGCATCATATGAACCCATGGAAATCAATCTGGCGTAACATCCTATCATGATTTCAACAGCATGGTTAGACATTCCTAAATGACTAGACAGTGACTAGTTATTATGACGCACCTTTGACAGTGGGAGATTTAGAGACTGTACTAGCAATGAAAAAAGGAAATCTTGGAGGTGATGTCATGCATAGATTACATCAGATGCAGGCACCTATTTCTATCTGTTTCTCACTGAAGATATAGATAATCCTCAGCTTATGATCCTAATGAAACCTGCTCATTGGGGTCATAATTGACCAACCTAATTTTACAACCTTTTTTGCGACAACTGATAAGCGAATGCAGTGGTTACTAAGCAAACCAGTTGTTCAGTAAGGACCATAGAAAACAATGTTTTTACCAGTTACCAGTTTTTAAGAAAAAGATAACATGTTATAATGTGACTGCGGGATGCTGCAAACAACCAAAAATGCAAGTCAGTGTGGTCATGTGACTGTGAGGGAGTGGCTGTTGGAATTTCAGAACTGGGTTGTAATTATCCCTGACTCCATAACTAAGCATTGTAAGGTTGTAAGTCAAGAACTACCTATAAATGCCTTAAAAGTGCAGTAGCTATTTTATTCATAGTGAGCCATGAACTGACATTTAAATTAAAACAGAACTGTGAACAATGATGATTATACTTCTTCTCTCTCCTCCTGGCAGTATGTAAGCGATCAAGCAAGGCCACCTGTTATCTGGATGAGCTACGTCTGGCTGTAGCCTGGAATCGGGTGGACATTGCCAGCACAGAATTGTTCCGTGGGGACATTCTCTGGGAGGTGGGTTGGCAGATTTGTTTTAGCTTTTAATCCTTTTCTGGAACATAAAAAAAGTGTGCGAGGAACGTGGAATAGAGAAGAATAACCTTGAATTAAGTTATTTTAAGTGTATAAAACTTGAAGGTCTCTGCCCATTCTATGGAGGGATTCTTGGATTCTTTCCCAAATTTATGCTGGGGTGATGAGGCTATATTATGTAACAAGGAAGAAAGAAATGAGTTGAAGACTAGCCACAAATTATTTGGGAAGAAGCAGAATATAGAAATGATAATAGGCTATACAAGGTGAATCTTTATTTGAGAGGCAGAATATGGCCATTGTCCAGCCCCAAACCTTTCCAGGATGGTTAAAGTGTGATGATTGTTCTGTCAAAAGTCTTACTGATTTTGAGAATGACACTGCCAATGATCATCAAGGCTGCATCAACAAATGTTGTTGCCTAAGGTGAAGGATGGAATGGTACCCAGAAACAGAACTGGCTAAATTTATCTCAAGTCCTGATGATAGAATAATGTCCTCCAGCACAGCTGAAGGAACAGCCTATTAAGTGATGTGTGAAAAGATTGCTCTCCAATAGAAGAGAGCAGTCATGGAAGAATAGCTTATTGTAACCAAAACCCTGCAAGTTGCTATTATCACACTTTATCTAATGAAGGACCCAATTTTGATCTCTAAGTAGTGGCAAACATCTATTCTCTTGAAACATAAATATTTTATTCTTAGTCTTCCTGTTTCGTTTCTTGCAGCCCAGCCTGCTGGAGAATCCAATGTGTGATGCCTTGCTAGGTAATCGAACTGACTTAGTGCGCCTCTTTGTGGAGAATGGTTTGGATATAGGACAGTTCCTGACATGGAGAAAATTAGAAAAGCTGTATGCTGGGTCCCCCAAGGTCTCACTGCTCTACCAGCTTTTGGAGCGATGCCAAGGGACAGGCTCTGAGCCACCCACCCCTCCTGAAGACTTGCTGCTGGAACGATCTTTGCCTGATTGCCATTTATCTCATGTGGCTCTTATTCTGCATGAACTACTAGGGAATGTATGTGCTCCTTTTTATGCAGGATTATACCCTACTGGCCACAGAGGGATAGGGGTAAGTGGTAATATTCTGTGTACGTTCGATTAGGAAGGGAATACATGAAGAGAAGTAGGATATTTTGAAAACTGGAAGGAGCAAGGGACTCTACAGTAGTTGTTAAGATATTGGACTGAAAACAGAAAGACCAAGATTCCTGAACTCTGTTCAACCATGCAGTTCACTAGTTGTCTCTCTCAGCCCAGCTTATCTCACAGCTTTGTTGTTGTTGTGAGGATAACATGTGCATTTCTCAGCTTGACTCTCTGAGGGAAAGTGGGAGATAAACTAAATAAATATGTTTCTCTTATAGTTGCTGCTTTAAGCCTATTTCTCTTTAGAAGAGGGGAGCATTTTAAATAAAATAATTTTAAAATGGGAAAGGAACCTTTGTGGTTCCCTAAGTGTCAATTTCAAGAAATCTTTCCAGTTAATTTCCCCCCTACAACATTCTTCCTATCAGCAAAAGAATGAAAATGCTCCTAAAAGGGCTGGCTTATCCTGGCTGCATTTAACACTTTGAACTTAAATTACATGCATTGTTTCCAAAATCACTTATGATGCTGCATTATTATTCCAAGTAATTATTAAATAATTACTGATTTTAAAAAATTGAAAAATATATCTATTTTATAAACTTATCTTTAGTAATAGTAGAAGTTCAAGACTGTATAATTCACAATGCTTGATGTGGCTGAAACAAATTCTTAATATCAAATTTTGTGAATTTTTAAAATAGTTTCCAGTTTCATTATGGGGAAATGTTTTGAAAAGAAACAGACAATGTTTTACAAACAGCTTTAATGCTTGACAGATTTGGAACATATTAAATTTGCAAAAAAAATCTCTATGGATTTCTGATGTTGCTAAGAGTAAATTTTGGCTTTTGTTTCAGTTTTGATTATGAATTTTGATTAATGTATGAAACAACTTAAGATAAGAATGTGTGTCTTTTGAATGTTTCCTTTCTTGTGTTAATCAAGATGTCTTCTCTGCCTAGAAAAAAGGATTATTACCTAATGGAGATTCCACATACCAAAATAAGCTGTCACCAAACCCATGGACTGATCTATTTATCTGGGCAGTGTTGCTGAATCGAAAAGAGATGGCAATTTATTTCTGGGAAATGGTCTGTATTTGGCAATGTCTCATACAGAGTAGCAACATTATGTTGCAAATGGATAGAGAGAATGATATGAATGAATTCCTCTGCCATCCCAGAACCTGGTTGCCCAGGTGCCCTTTCTTACAGTAAAAAAGCAAAAAAAATTACTTCAAGTTGGGGGAAAAAGTGTGCTGGCATAAATTGAGCTCTCTTGATGGCTGAGCTCTGTATTGTTTAGGTAATCACATCAGTACTTTCCATCTAATTTAAATTCAAAAGTAGTTAAGCAAAATAATTGGTGGGCTTTCTTTAACAGAAGGTAGGATGATATTAGGACTGTAGGCAGATGCCGTGGAGGTCATGGTTGGTCAACAGTCAAGTTGCCTGATTAACAGACACTATGCCAGTGACCTGTCAATCAGTTTATTTCTGAACATGAGTTTAGTATTCATTTAAAAGGACATTAAACTCATATTTAAATATAAGTCTATCTGGCAGATTGCAAATATGGAGAAAGAGCAGGAAATGAAGCAACGGAAGCTCTTACAATCTATCTGGTAAACTTCTCTCCCTCCTCATAAGCGTGTTCTGCACTTGTGACTTGTGAGCTTGCTAAGGGTAAAACAAAAGGGCCAATCAATATCAAACATGTTCTTTCCTCAATTAGTATTGCAAAGTAATGCAGCACCAAGTGATAACACCAACAGCTGCCACAGAATAGGTAAAATAACAGTACTATCCTTCCCTAAAGCAATAAAAATAGTGAAATCCTTTGTCAGCAGAAGCAGAAGAAAATCTGTTAACTCACTTACTGGTTTGCTGGTCTATACTGTAATAAAAATTCACTGAACACACTTATTGGTGGCAACAGTATGTAGGTAGCAGAAGCCAGTTCCCAGTTTAAGTTGACTTTCTGGTACAGTGCAAGACTACTGGACACAGGTCTAGTGCTCTTTCAAAAAATACTAAACCCATGTACCAAAAGTGCTTTTCCAAAAGGCAACTGAACTTTTTCAGTTCTGAAGCTTCTTAAAGAAGTGAAACATTTTCAAGAAAAAACCCCAAGAAAGTCCAGTTGCCTTTTGGAAAAGACACTTTTTGAACAACCATGACCTGGATGATTGAGAATCTCCAGAGACACTAAACCCATGTATATAAAGATCCTACATAAGATCTCACAAGTATTTTGAAAAGCATCAGGCAAGCATTAGGGGCAGAATCCATTATGAAGCTACGTGTCTGGTTTCTCCAGCAGCTCAAACAAAAATGACCCTGGAGAATAACACCCAATGGTTAGAGGAGGAGATCATTCTAGCAGTCAATAGGAGCTGAGGAGATCTTAACTTTGGCCACATCATCAACTACACTGTTGATTAAGCATCCTAGATAACATCCATACCAAAAGCCATATTACATACCAGGAGAAGAGAGAAAGTGCTACAATAAAAGTGGAACAACTTTAAGACAACTTTAAGCTGCTTCTGTTGGCTAGGGTTGAGACAAAATCAATGTCACTGGGTCATCCATTTAAAAATGTCCCAAAATGGTTAATGGGGCATGTGGATATTGTGGCTAGAAGGATATAGGCTTGGCAGTCATTCTTCTCATGCTACATTTGCTTTTTGCAGTGAGCAAAGCAAGAAAACAAGCCCACCCACAATTGTCATAGTGCAGGTGGAATAAAATGGATAGGAATGGAATGACTGGGGATGGATGGGAATGGATAATGATGAGACATCTTGGCAACAGAAGGGAGAGTGTTTAATCCAGAAGCCAGAAAACAAGGAGGATGAGGTAGATGTTTCCAGCAATGGAAAACTCCCTATCCTACAGCTCCAAAATAATTGTTGACAAATCTCTTCTCAACACTCATCCAAGCCTTTAACATTGTCGAGTGTAGATATGTAAATGAGTGTAACCAATTCAGAGAAACATTCCTAATTCCCTCCTTTCCTTCCTCTCTCTCTCTCTTTAAAAAGGGGCTTCTGTAACTCTATCATCAAGAGTAGTCAGAGGGTGAGGGAATAAGTCAAATGCAGAAATGGTACAGAGGAAAAGAGAAAAAGCCTATTTCCCAGTGAATTAATTCGGCTGCTCTTACCCTTAAAAATGTGTCTACTTTAATTATGACTCTGGGGCTCTCATCTAGTTGCCTTCTGGGGAGTGGACTAAATGGGATATGGGAGAAAGCAGAAGAATACACTTAGAATGAAAGTCAAGGACTTATCTTCTATGCCAATCTTGTCTATGCTTCTTAACAGAAATGTTCTACGGCAGGATGTATGAGGTTTTGCAGTAGTGATAATTTTCCAAACTGAAATGACTGCTCAGTAAGCAAGTGCATATAAAACAAAAACACATTGTAATTGTCAAAGGAATAGAAGATGCCACAAGAACAATGTGTTTTGATGACTAGTAGCATTGCGGTGGCAGAGTTCTGTTGCTGGTCTATTTGCCTCATTATTTTTACCCAGTTTCCTGTCTGCAATTATAGGAAAACTCGAATAATCTTTTTCTCTCTCTCAGCATTTGTTGCAGTTTATTTTACAGAAAAGAAATAAAGTTCTTGAAGAAAGAAAAGATTGGAGGCAAGTGCCTCCAACTGTTTCTTTGGTATTTTGACTGTTATTTAGTCTGTTTCACAATTAAATAAGACCTAATATTGCTCAATTTTTGAAATCTTGATCAGCTTTACAGTGTTGATTAATTTTTTGGCTTGTTTTTCTTTCTTTTTGCAAGTAGCTATTGTGCATTTCTTCTAAAAAGTATTTTACATGCACCACAGCTTTGAAACAAACAGTATTCCACAATGCAAGGATGTCACAATTGCCCAAAACATTTTCTGTAAACATAGTTAGAAAAAAATACATGGCAAGAAGATATTTTGGAACATATGCTGTTTCTATCACACCGATGGGTTACAAACCCATGCAAATCTGCCAATTGCTCGGGTAATTTGCTTTTTCTTTCAACCCAGGCTCCTGATGCCGTGGCTGGGGCACTGGCAGCAGCACAAATACTGCGGGAACTTTCACATCTAGAGACAGAAACAGAGGAAGTGGCAGCCATGAAGGATTTAGCAATGCACTTTGAAAATTTGGCCATAGGTGAGATATGATAAAAGGGGTGAGGGGAGACATGATTGCTTAAGGGAAAGAGGGCTGATTTTTTTTACATAACTGAAGATATTTATCTCGATCAGTGTATCTCAAACTCAATAACTTTAAGATGTTTGGACTTTAACTTCCAAAATTCAGTTGAATTCCACATACATTAAAATTTCTGAGATTGAAAAACACAGGTCTAGACCGGGGTAGGCAACCTTGGCTCTTTTATGACTCATGGACTTCAACTCCCAGAATTCCTAGTCATAAAAGAGCCGAGGTTGCCTACCCCTGGTCAAGACCAACCAGTCTAGATATACTGACCTACTATCCCCATAACAACAGGCATAGATATTATAGGGTGGAATCAATGTTAATGGAAAGTGGAAGAGATTATTGGCATAATACAACAAGCACTTCTTCATACAGGGGAATATAGGAAAAAGAAAAAGTTATAAGGAGAAGGAAAAAAAGTAGGTTGTAATATTCATGAAATGAAACACTTTATGGAGAAACCCAGTGATAGGTTCCCAAGTTTTCCTGAAAATTGTAGTTTAGCATTTAGCTGAAACAGATTTCAAATCCTTTATTACTCAAATATAGATTTACTAGCTGGTTTTGGATGATTAAATTTTGACAGTCTCCACTAATTTGTAAAACTGATGTAAGTGGACCAGTTATGGAATTGGTGAGAACGAAGAAAAGCATTTTGCACACTTTTTCAATCCACCAATAGAAGGCCCTATTTTCTGACTGGTAGGATGATGTCCAAGCAGCTCCATCTCAAATCTAGTGTTTCTTAGCCCCCTATCATGTGTACTGTTTAAAAAAAAAAAACCTTTTGCAACATATGGGCACTCTAACAAATGGATGTTTTCCATAGGAGCAATTTTTTGCCATCCCACATCCTGACTTAGCTTTAGGTATTCATTTTTTTTCTGAAAAGAGGGAAAGCATAGCATTTTTACAACTTATTCATTTTCTTACTTTCACCATTTGAAAGAACTTGTATGTGAAGGTTTGATGTCATGTTTGCAGTTACTTACAGTTGTTTAATGAAAAACTACTCGTAGAACTTTTTGAATGAAGCTTTGGTGTCAAATTATCTACTTGACAATAGTTTTTGAGTTTAAGATAATTCCAATATTATCATGGAGCTGCCATATTCAGGAATATTTGTTCTTTTTATAATTAATCTTCCATTGCTCTCATTTCTAAGTTTCTTAGATAGTTGTGAGCAAATGTAGACAAATATACAGGAATGTGTGTATTGGAGTATTATGGGACAATGATTTTATATTTTTGTGGACTGGAAGATTCAAACAGTTCTTGTTAGCATGCAGAACATCTTAGTAAATACAAAGGACAATTGATTTCAGACCTATTTAGGAGCAAAGCGGAAAACCTCTGATATTCTCTGTAAGCTCTAGACTAGCAAAAGGATAGATTTGCACATGATTTTAACAATATGATTATCAGTATGATTATAGGAAAGATCCAAAGACAGCTCAGAATTATTACAAATTAATGTGGTCATGAGTTGCAAAGTCTTGGCAAACTGATGGTTTGGTTGTTTGGAAGTCTTTGAGTCTTTGTATTAATGTTAATCTTGCTGTATTATTAATGGTTCTTTAAATTAAGAAGAGTTGTAAATTGTGCAAATGTTTATAATGCCTTGACTTTTTTATACTCAAATATCTCTCTCCTCCCTTTTAACTCCACAATTCTAGGAGTATTCAGTGAGTGTTACCGTAATAGTGAACCACGGGCCTACAAACTACTGGTGCGCTGTTCCCACCTCTGGGGTGGAGCCACTATCCTCCATCTGGCTCACCAGGCTGATGCCCGCCTCTTTTTTGCACAGGATGGTGTGCAGGTATGGCCACACATTGATTCACTGAACTGAGTTTTTAAGGATGAATATTATCTCTTGATTCCATCTTGTATTTAATCTGGATATGGATTATGTCCCCTTGGACTTCTTAAACATAGTGTTCAGCAGGGAATTATGGCCTCCAGAAGTTGGTGAATAACTAATGGTGCAAAAAGGCTTGCAGAGGACCATAGGTTCCTATACCAAATAACACAATAGTGGGGTTGTACTTATTAGAAATTATCTGCCTAGGATCAAGCTTTCATGGAATAACATTTATATAACACTGGGAAAACTATCGCTTTAGAAAACCAAACAAAATATTATACAGCCGAAAACTGCAGGCTAGCCATTACAGGAGAGCAGGAGCTACAGTATTCCTTACATAACAACCACAATTGGGACTGGCAACTTCCTCATTAAATGACAAGGTTGTTAGATGAGATATCATGTGATCATAACAGACTTGCAACCTCAGTTTTACCGTGGTCATTGTGAGTCATCGTGGGTTGTTTAAGTGAGATATCATGTGACTAGCAATTTTACTGTCCGCTTCTCTGTTGACTCTGCTTGTTGAAATCAGCTGTGAAGTACGCAAATGGCTATAATGTAACCATGGGACAATGTGATGGTCATAAACATGTGCTGATTGCAAAGTGCCCAAATCTTGATCAAGTCACTGCAGGGACAAAGAGATGGTTGTAAGTGCAAAAAGTGGTCACAAAATTACTTTTTCAGCACTCTTGCAACAAAAAGACACTAAACAGGGCAGTCATTAAGGGACAATTACCTATATGTATTTGATTGTCCAAATGAAGGCAGCAAAGAGGGTAAGATCAATGCCTGAGAAATAGATTTCAACAAAACTAGGCTTGAATAGAGATAGATGTTTGAAGCCTGCCATGATTGCTCTCTTCAAATATTTGTAGGAATATCACTTAGATGGCCATTCTAGGCAAGATATGAAGAAAACTGTAATCCAACAATTTCACAATACAGAAAGAAGATAACAGTTGGACATTAAAATAATCTGGTGGCATGTGGAGCAAGCTACTTCAGGCAGTGGAGTTTTTTTTCATTAGAGGTTTTTAAATCAAAATTGGATGGGTAATTTACTAGATATGCTATAATGTTTGATTATGCTGAAGCAATAAACTAAATTACTGTTGAGGTTTTTCCAGTTCTACAATACTCTGAATCCTGGATTCATTCTACCAATTATTTGAGGAAGCTCCAGGCTTAGGATGAACCTACTTCCTACGATAACTATGAGTTGGGTGTCCTTAGGTTCTGCATGCTTAGATTTATAAACTGGAGGGCACAAGCACTATACGGAATGCTAATAATGTTAGGGTGAGGATAGTGGAATGTAAGTAAATAAAATCATTACAACCAGAGGTCATAACATAGAAAAGGTATAAAATAGAATAACATAGCAATAGAGCAGTAAGTAAAATTATAACATATTATAAAACCATATTATAGAGATCAATAGAGGGAACTTGGCAGCTTAAAAATGAGAGGAAATTTTGGAAATTGTGGCTAATGGCATTTACACACACACCATGCTTCATGTAGTTAGTCCAAATTTCAACCAATATTTTGCCTCCATTATACATACTGAACTAGCAACAGTCTCTACCAAATTAAGCATGCTTCCAGATGGCCAGGTGTCTCAAAATCTGAATGTAAACAACTTATTTCAACCTCGAAAAAGCTCCTGCAGAGGATGATTCTTCCAGTGACAGACAAGATTAATGATTCCTGATGGATCCCCATCCTGACTAGATTCTTCTTAGAAATAGATAAAACATGAGTTGAATCTCCCGACTAGAAACAAAGTATAATATATCAATCACTTAAAAGGGCAACTAGAAGGAACCTGCTAATTACAGTACCACCCTATTAATCTGCTAGATATTTCTTCTAAGTTCTAGGTCAGACATTTTCTAAAACTAGAAGACTGGGAAGGAGAAATAAAACTTTTTCTTCAAATCAGGCAGGGTTTCAAAAAGGACATAGCACAATAGACCATTGTGCTACTTTGAAGGCCCTTATTCAAAAATAAACCAATAGGCATACAAAACGCCTCTATTAGTTTTAATGAGTATACCCCAGTGGTGGGATTCAAATATGTGAGCAACTGGTTCTCTGTGTGGATGCTGCTTCCGGAAGTCCATTCTGGGCCTGGGCAACAAAAAATTAGCCACCGGTTCTACCAAAGTGGTGTAAACTGGCTGAATTCCACCACTGGTGTACCCCCGCCTTTCACTCAGTTAACATGCTTTGACTATGGGAGAAACTAACTACTACAAATATTAATAAGCATCTTCTTAAGCTAATTATTGAATTACATACAGTTCTGACATTATGGCTAGTCTCAGTATTTTTCAGTGCTGTCTTTCTCTTGTGTTTTTCTAAAAGTCCCTGCTCACCCAAAACTGGTGGGGAGAAATGGACCGAAGTACCTCTGTCTGGAAGCTTCTTCTCACATTTTTTTGCCCTCCTCTCATCTTTACTGAGCTCATTACATTCAGGTGGGTGCTACTGGGCATGGTTTGATTTACACAGTAGTGTGGCAGAGAGGGAGGAGCTGTGCATTGGTGGTAGCGTACAGTGTTGTTACTGTAGTTATTTAGTAACTGCAATTTCTGACTATCAAAGGGGTGGGTGTTCCTTTATATAACAGAATATGAATGGATATACTTTCCTTAACTCTGAAGCAATCACTCTCTTTTGAGCAGACTTTTCAAAACCTGCAATTGACCTGCCAGAGGACAATTTAATCCACCTGCCAGAACAAGTGGAACAAATAAATTCAAATTTTAAATCCTTGTCCCTGGAATTTCTAGCAGTAAATTTAATTTCTAGCATTAAATTTTATGGCTAAATTTTAGCATCTGCATTTAAAATGTGGTCAGGTGGTCATTCTGATCTATAATATGATCTTTAACAGGAGTATGGATGATGATCTGCGGCTGGATTCCTTGGAACAGTTTGAACTGGACAGTCTTGATACAGATGTGAAAAGTACCATCGGAGACATATTGTCTGAGTAGGGGGAATGGTCCTCATCTTGGGAACATGGGCCTGTGGGAGGATGGAAGCATGGTATATCATAAATTAAAGCTGTTGATGCAGTGGGAGTAATGAGCAGCCTCAATCTCTTCAGGATATTCTAGCTTTATTTTCCCTCCCTGCGAATATCCAGATTTTGTCAAAAAGTAATTAAAACCAAGAAAGTGGAAACTGTGGCCCTTGAAATTTAGATGAACTTCAACTTCCAGCATTCCCCACTGCCTAGGAATTGGTGGATATTAAATTTTGTTTAAAAAGCACACTTGTTTATTTTAAACTACCCCTTTTCAGAAGAGACATTTTGAAGTTGCTCACAAACATTTATTCATATGCAAATATATAAGCCTTTATTTAATGAATTAATTACCCAAAGTAATAGAGTTAATTTATCAGTGGAATTCAAACATTTCTCCTTTTCTTTTTCATTTCTTGACTCAGAAGTTTGGAACCTCCCTCCCCTCTTTCTGTTCGACAACTCTGGTTACGACGGTGGCATCAATTTTGGGTGGCACCTGTGACAGCATTCCTGGGCAATGTGGTGATGTACTTGCTCTTCCTCTTCCTCTTCTCCTACGTCTTGCTGCTGGATTTTGACCCTCCACCTCCCAAAGGTCCATCTAGCACTGAGATAGTCCTGTACATCTGGGTCTTCACACTGGTCTGTGAAGAGGTCCGTCAAGGATGTTTTGTGGGTTCCCGTCCTTTGTTGCAGAGAATACGTCGGTACTTCCTGGACACATGGAATCAGTTTGATATCACAGCCCTGCTACTCTTCATGATAGGACTAGTGTGCAGGTAAGTGCCCTTCTATACTGTAGCGATTTCAGCACTATTCATTTATTCTGAAGTTTTTGAGTGAGCTCAAAAGAGAGGTTAATACTGCTGAAGATAAAAAGGAATGGTTTGTATACTTTAGAATTGCTTTCTTTTTTTCTTTACACCACTGTCTATATCACAGGCTGTTTCCTTCGTCATATGAATCAGGACGCACCATTCTGTGCCTGGATTTCATGATCTTCACCCTTCGTCTCATCCACATCTTTGCAGTCAACAAACAGTTGGGACCCAAGATGATTATCATTGGCAGGATGGTGAGAAGGTGCATTTTAATGCACATAGAATAATGTACAGAAACAAGATTGTTGAATATGCAGGACAATTTTTTGTTTGTTTGTTTAAGAATGAACAAAGGCTGTCCCCAAAAAATATAAGCCAGAGTGCAAATGAAACAGCAATAGCAATGACAAAAGCCATTGGGCTTAATACAGGACAGTGGTTCTCAACCTTTTTATACGGCGACCCCGGTCATAAGGACGTGCCGCGCAGCCCCCACGCACGGCACGCATGTGCGGCACCTCCCACGCACGGCGTGCATGCGTAGTGCCCCCCACGCACGGCCCGCATGCACGGCGCCGCCCCCATGCACAGCATGCATGTGCGGCGCCGCCCCGAGGGAAAAAATGGCGGATTGCGTTGTTTGGCGACCCCCGTAAAATGGTCATTCAACCCCAAATGGGGTCGCGACCCACAGGTTGAGAACCGCTGATATAGGAGAATAAGCTATCTTTCAACATGGCAATTAATTGGCCCACCTCACCTATGTTGGCAGAAGAGGCATGCTGAGGACCTTGTTGGTCAAGGAATTCTGGATGGCTGGGTCCAGAAGAAAAGCCTATTCTTCCCACCCTCTGGGACATCATGTCCCTCCCCCCGATAAGATCTGCCCCCACTATCTTGGCCTTTCAAAAAAGTCTGAAAACCTGGCTCTGCTGGAGCACGGCATACTGGAGGTGATTAACTTGCTGATAAGACTCCACCTCCTTCCCATGTGCATCTTGCTCTCTTTGTTAATTTTATGCTAATTTTAATGTTAATATTTATTATTTTCATGTTTTAATGCAGGCATTTCCAAACTTTTTGCTTGCCTGAGCTGCACTGAGTGAAGAGGAATCATCTTGGGCTGCATATAAAATATATAATTTTTATTTTTTATTGTTATATTATTTTACTTTTGCTTTGTTTAAACTTCCTTTTTATTTTTTGTTTTTTATTATTGTAATCTGCCTAGAGCAGCCCATGATAGGATAGGGCAGCAGATAAATTTAATAATATTAATAATATAACATATGACTTAAAAAAATCACATAATAATGTTAAAAGTTTATGATCTTGTGGGGCTGCAAGATTTAAGACTGGAAATGCCTGTTTTAATGTTTTATCTTGTTGCTTTTATTTGGTTGAAAAAACCTAGAGTTGTCTCTAGGTAAGTTGGATGGCATAATCTCCTTTTTTTCCTCTTCTTTTTCTCTTCCTAGATGAAGGATGTATTTCTCTTTCTCTTCTTCCTTGGGGTATGGTTGGTAGCCTATGGGGTCACGACTGAGGGTCTCCTTCTCCCCCATGATCGAAGAATCCCTTGGATATTTCGACGTGTTTTCTACCGACCTTATTTGCAAATTTTTGGACAGATCCCACTCACTGAAATTGATGGTGTGTATTTTGGGAGTGCTTGCTGACTTCTCTGGTTTTCATCCACTTTGGATTGCTGAAACATTAGAAAACGTAGTGCAGGCTTATGGATAAAGCATCAAATAGGCAATTACCAGCTGAGGATTGTTAAACAACTACTTTATTTCTTATAAAGCAACAAAGATGATTAGGGGACTGGAGGCTAAAACATATAAGGAACGGTTGCGAGAATTGGGTATGTCTAGTTTAACGAAGAGAAGGACAAGGGGGGACATGATAGCAGTATTCCAATATCTCAGGGGCTGCCATAAAGAAGAGGGAATTAAGCTATTTTCCAAAGCACCTGAAGGCAGGACAAGAAGCAACGGGTGGAAACTAATCAAGGAGAGAAGCAACCTAGAACTAAGGAGAAACTTCCTGACAGTGAGAACAATTAATCAGTGGAACAGCTTGCCTCCAGAAGCAGTAAATGCTCCAACACTGGAAGTTTTTAAGAAGAGACTGGACAGCCATTTGTCCGAAATGGTGTAGGGTTTCCTGCCCGAGCAGGGGGTTGGACTAGATGACCTCCAAGGTCCCTTCCAACTTTACTACTATTACTAATTTACAAAGACTCATTTGATTTGGTTTCTGTGCTGTGCTGAATGCAGAAAAAAGATAGAATTTTTCATCTTTCTTCTGCTCCCTCACTTATATGGAATATCTGGTTACCATGGTGATTAAGCTAATTTCTAAATATATGACAGAGATAGTCTAGAATGAAAAATATAAAAAGCAAGACAATTGAAATATTGAAAGTGTTGATTTAAAAAAAACAATGGAAATATAAGGATATGCATATAAGGAATCTGTTAACTATAAAACATTGACCTATTATTTAGATTACCTTAAAATGAGATTGGATAAGAGCTATTGGCCATGACAATTTAGTAGTCTTTGCAAGCTTAGAGCTGTAAAAACTTAAAATAAATGGAAATATTTTTAAAGTTTTTATTTTTTTCTTCCCACCAGGCCTTCATACAGTATTTTTATACAAACTTAGCAATATATTTCAAAATATCAAATGCTAGTTGGCAAATAAGGAGAGACAATGTCACTTTTATGAAGGGGTTTTTTATAGGTACTTTATACTTATAGCTTGTGTAAAGTTTTGGATGGCCACTGATAGGAATGGGATTCTGCATTCAGCAGGCTAATCGGATCCAGTAGATAATTTTTAGGGTTTTACTTTTTATTCCAGAACAGCCTTTCAAAACCTGAGCCACTCCAAAACTTCTAGGCTACAACTCCCATCAGTCCCAACCAATACAGCCAGGGTCAAGGACTGATGAGAATTGTAAGCCCAATAATCTGTAAACCCAAAGAACTGAAAAAAACCAAATCTGGAGAAAGGTAAACACTAAACTACCTAGGACTAAAACAATCCTATGCAAGACTTCTGTGCACTCTTTCTTCCACATTCTATAAATTTCATCTCATTTTTTCCTTTGTATTCTTCCCTAGCTGCCCAGATCACAGCCTCGAATTGCACTTATGACCCTTTAGCCATCTTGATGGAGGACGCGAACCCTTGTACCAATACCTATGCTAACTGGCTGGTGCTCATTCTCCTGGTGATCTTCCTGTTGGTAGCCAATATTCTGCTCCTCAATTTGCTGATTGCAATGTTCAGGTATCAATACCTCCAATTCCAGCAAGGAAGGATTAAAAAAAATCTAAAAAAAAAAAAAACCTTACACAAAGCTCTACAATAAAAAAAATTAAAAAAAAATCTGGAATAAAATTCTAGTTCAATGCAACATTATACTTTTCAAAAGTAATTTAGATTGTATCTATTTTAGCCAGTTCAAGTTCAGTTTTCAACAAAATATTTTCAAAGAAAATATTTGAAGAATAAGCTCAGTTGAACTAACTATATGATCATGCTTCACATTTGGCAGTGTTAGATATCTATGAAAATACATTCACAATATTTTTTATAAATTCTTCCATGGTTCAAGTTCAGGGGAAAGCTGTTTTTCAGCTTTGTGCAGCTGAAAAATATTTGCTGCTAAGCAAATATAAAGCCCATGTTGATGGGGCAGGAGAGCTGAACGCCCACATTTCCTTTAGCCTACCCTTAATTGTGCTGATTAAATAGAGTGGTCCCCAGTTCTTTTGTTGAGTTCCAAGATCTTTGGGCTAGTTACAGTCCTGATAAATACACTATTGTAAAACAAAACAGAACTAAAATGAAGGTTCCTTTTTTGAGCATAAGGAAAAAGTAAGAGTCAGCATTCAGTTTGGAATCAAGAGTGAAAATACGCATTATTTGAGGAGCGAAAGAGTTGGGAATAGAGATTTTCCTGTAAAACAGGAAATGCAGAAAAACAGCCTATGTTGGCTCATGTTTCTTTTCCATCCATATGCTGCCTATGATTGTGTGCTGGCTGAGGGATCAGCCATTCAGTTTGAAGCTGACTCCCCCAATTTGGAGAAAGGTGAGACTAACATATTATTTCCCCTTCTAATAGTTACACGTTCTCCAAAGTGCAAGGCAACAGTGATATCTACTGGAAATCCCAGCGTTACAACCTTATCTTGGAGTATCATAGCCGGCCTGCATTAGCTCCACCCTTCATCTTGATCAGCCACCTACATCTCCTCTTCAAGCGTCATATCCGCAAGGTGCAATCGGCAAAGAGACATGACTTCTGTGAGTGCTAAAAGTAATTATGGGCTAGAGATAACCTGCCTAAGAATGCTGGAACTCTTGCAGTGTTAACCAATCTAGAGAACATCAGACATGGGAAGGATGTTCAAGGTCATTCATTCACTCGTTGTCTTTATATTTTGCCATTCACCTGAAAGCTCAAGGTGGCATAAATGAGCCTTTTCTAAGTTCATCTCCACAAGGTAGATTTACAGAGGAGGAGCAAGTAACTAGTTCAGCATTATATAGTAAATTCTCTAGTTGAGGGAGCTGGGCCTCCACATTCCAAGTATAATGCTGAAATCACTGTTCTACATCAGCTCTTTGTGAATATCAAGAAGGATTAATTCTAACTCTATGTCATTATCAATCATTATCTCCTTCATTCTGCACCTAATGTGTTATCCAACTTTTGGCTGCTTCCCAAGTTTTCCACTTCTTCCAAGCAAGATTCTCCCTCTGTGAGAATCATTAGTAAGGTTTACTGAGATGAGAGAGATTATGGTTTCAAGAACTTCAGAATTATTTCCAATTTATAACTATCTGATCTCTTGGCAAGTGACTTGTATTTCACATCAAATGGCGAGGAATCACTTTTTTTCACCAATAATGGATAGACTTGCAGGTAGCTGTTTACTAAAATGACTCCTGAATCATTAACAGTTTATGAACCAAAAATTAATCTATTTTGGATAGTGCTAGAACTCTCCGAGATCCAAAACAGGCGACTACTGACGTGGGAATCGGTACAGAAAGAAAATTACTTAGTAACCCAGGCACGACAGAAACGTGACAGTGACACTGAGAGACTCCGGAGAACCTCCCAAAAGTAAGACTGGGGAATATAAGACAATAAAGAAAAAAAGAAGAGGACATAAGTTGAGATTAGGGAAGGACTGATCAATTTAAGTCCAATTTGAATCAGTTTTCTGTTAATTAAGATATGTTTTTTTCATACTGAACTTTTTAAAAAATGCGTGAAAATTGCATTAAAATAGATATTTTAATATTTTCTTAAAAGTGCAATTTAATAATTTAATTTCAAAATGTGAATTTTAAAATGTATTGAATCACAAATATTTCATCAAATGCAAAGAAATGCAAAATCTAAAATATGTGCATTTAGAATCACACAGTTTGACCAGAATGTGCAGATCTAATCAATTTGCGCTGAAATTTGAGATCAAATTTCATACCCTTCTTTAGTTGGTGCAGAAGAAAAGCACATTATAGACAGATTTCCTAAACTTGATTTCTTTCAGATATTTTGGGTAGCTTCTTCCAGAGATATTGCTTGGGAAATGAGAACAAAGAGTTTCTAATGGTGCCACATCTGGAGAATCTTCCCTATTTATTGATCAACTATTCCTAAAATTAACATTAGTGGTAAAATGCAGTCCAACTTTTCTGGGGAGTGCCTTAGGCCAGGGGTCCCCAACCCCTGGTCTGAGGAATGGTACCGGTCCGTGGCCAGTTAGGAACCGGGCTGTGCAGCTGGAGGAATGCAGCGAGTCTGCAGGGGTCTGGTCAGGGGCGGGAGAGTGGCAGGGCAGAAGGCGGCTTACTCAGTGCAAAGGCGCTTGCAACTGGCTTGAAACTTCTGAGGTCAGCGTCCTTCCTCCTCCTGCTTCATGTATTCTCTCTTCTTCATCCTCCTCCACTTCCTGCTTCCTCTCCCTCCTGCTACTTTTTCTTCCTCACTTTCCTCCCTTCCGGCACCCAGCTAAGCTCCTGCTCTCTTAATGCCAAATTTGCAAGGCAATCACGCTCCAGCCCAGCTTGTAACTGGGGGGCTTCCCCAAAACCTCGTTGGAGGGGTTTCCCCCCCCCAAGTATGTGTTTGTGAAGGTGCTTTCTCAGGATGTAAATAGGGGCAAGGAGAAGCTACCTTTCACTTTAAGCACTGTGTCCAAGGGAATCTCTTTCTTGTTTGTACCTTTTCTAAGACTACTGAGTTTTTTTGCTTTTGTTTTGATGGTACTCCAGGTGCTCTTGTTTTGGCAATTTCCTGCCTGCTTTTTGTGGTTTAATTTGTTTCTTGGGGAGAGGGAGTTTCTGCTTGTGTCTCCAAGGGAATCTCTGTCTCATCTACACCTTTTCCAAGGCTCCCCCCACTCTTTTTGTATAGTTTTCGCAGCACTTCCTCAACATGCTGGGTCTTTGGTTTGTTTTGCTGGAAGTTTGAGTTTAGGATTGCCTCTTTTCCTTCCCACTTTCTTAAAAGCAGAAAGTCACTGGTCTAATCTAATACAATGTAATAATAATAGAAATATAATGCATTATTTATTTGTTTATTTAGAAAATTTAGAATAAATATAATAAATCATCCTGAAACCTCCCCCCCCCCGTCCACGGAGAAATTGTCTTCCGTGAAACCGGTCCCTGTTGCCAAAAAGGTTGGGGACCTCTGCCTTAGGTTACATTCAGAATCATCACAGAGTTGTTGCAAGTGTGGTGTGTGTGTGTGTGTGTGTGCAGGATTGGAGGCTGTAGCCTTGCAGACTTTGGGTGGTGCTTTCTCCTGTGAAGTAAGAACACTTTCTTCGCCTTGCCTGTGTTACTGATATGGTATGAAAATTCCCATATTTAGGAAAACCCACTATAAGCCATGGGATTTATATTAGCTATTACTAGTTTATCCTGTTCACTTCAATGGCTATAAGTATGAACTGTTGACATTAATGCATGCATAAACCAATTTCTATATTCAATACTGAGATATGCTTTGGAAAGTGTTCATCCTTCCTTCCAGGAGAAAGTAAAAAACAAGCCTGCCTACAAATTCCTAAAATGCAATATTTTTGTCTAGATGGGATTAGAGCAGGTTTCCCAAAGTTTATTGAAACACTTCTAGTATCCTTATGTGGGGGAAAATGAGAGCTTTGGAATCAAATATAGGGAACTATCAGAGAGGATAAAAGATTGTCTCGTGCCCCTACAGAGGAAGAAAAAGGCTGAATGTTTTCTTTTTTTCTAACTGCCTCACACCTCTAACTCTGCAGAGTCGATCAGGTTTTAAAGCAGCTTTCTGATATCAAAGAATCAGAGCGACGTCTGAAGACCCTTGAGATGCAGGTATGGGAACAGTAATGAATCCTTTGGAATGGGAAATGGGAGGAAAATGGAATCTTTTGGGAACTGATAGGACAAGCGCTTTGCATTAGCAGCTAAGGTGAAAAGTAGCAGCAGTAAATGAAAAGGTACTGTCATACAATCTAGGGAGGTATGTTGTCTCCCTGGAGCAAAAATCAAAGATGTGGCTGAGAACCTAACCAATAATTAGACCCACAGATTAGTACCCTTTCCTCTTCCTTCACATTGAGACAAATGACACAACAAAGAACCGGAGTACAATATTGAGAGACTATAAGCAACTAGGCAATAGTTAAGGAGATAGGAACACAAGTGGTATTCTCATCAGTACTCCCAGTGAAAAGCCAACACCCATTGAGGGGAAAAAAAGAATTCTAGAAATAAACCACTGGCTAAAAAGTTGGTGTCACCAAGAAAACGTTGCTTTCCTAAACAATGGACTGCATGTCCTACGCGAAAGATTCTTGACAAGGGATGGGCTGCACCTCATGAAAACAGGGAAAAATTACTCAGAAAAAGGCTGGCCCAAGTAGTCTTTTTTCACAGCTCTTGCAAGAAAAGTACCTGAGGATTGGGAAAGGGCTGATGTGGTTCCCATCTTCAAGAAAGGGGAAAAAAAACAGACCCAGGAAACTACAGACCAACGTTGTGGACACAGTATACTTAGGTTTCAGTAAGGCATTTGACGAAGTAGACCATAACATGCTGCTTAGTAAACTAGAAAAAGTGGGATAGACAACATCACCACCAGATGGATCTGTAGCTGGCTGACAAACCATATCAGTGAGTAGTCCTCATGGAGAGAAGTAAGTAGTGGGATATCACAAGGCTGTCTTAGGCCCAGTCCTCTTTAATATCTTCATAAATGACTTAGATGAGGGAATAGAAGGGGAACTCATCAAATATGCAGGCGATACTAAACTGGCAGGAATAGCCAACACCTAGAAGACAAGCTCAGGATCCAAAAAGATTTTGACAAAACTTGAACAATGGGCCCTATCCAACAAAATGAATTTTAATGTGGATAAAAGCAAAGTTTTACATTTAAGCAGGAAAAAAAATCAAAAGTGTAAGTACAGATTAGGCGAGACCTCACTCAAAAACAGCAACTGTGAGAGGGACCTTGGAGTCCTAGTGGACGATCACTTGACTATGAGCCAGCAGTGTGCAGTCACAGCCAAAAAAAGCTAATACAATCCTGGGTTGTATAAACAGGCATAGAATCAAGATCATGCACAGTATTAGTACCGCTTTATAAAACCCTAGTAAGACCACACTGGAATACTGCAACCAATTTTGGTCACCATATCACAAAAAGGATGTTAAGAGTTTGGAAAAAGTTCAGAGAAGAGCAGCTAAAATGATCAAAGGCCTAGAGACTAAAACATATGAAGAATGGCTGCAAGACTTGGGTTTGGCTAGTCTAAAGAAAAGCAGAAACGGGTGACATAATAGCAGTGTTCAGGGCTTTTTTTGTCATAGAACGCCCAGAATGGAGTTCCGGACCTTTTTTGGATGGAACCTTGTAGGGTAGGCAAGGTGGGTTGTATGACATGTGTGAGTTCCGGCACCTTTTTTTTTTTTTTTTAAAAAAAAGCACTGGCAGTGTTCTAGTATTTGAGGGGCTGCCACAAAGAAGAGGGCTGCCACAAAGCACCAGAGGGCAGGACAAGAAACAATGGTTGGAAACTAAACAAAGAGAGAAGCAACCTGGAATTTCCTAACAGTGAGGACAATTAACCAGTATAGCTTGCCTTCAGAAATTGTGGGCGCTCCATCACTGGAGGTTTTTAAGAAGAGACTGAAATGGTATAGGATCTCCTGCTTGAGCAGGGGGTTGGACTAGACCTCCAAGATTCTATTCCTATTCCTATTCTATAAAATTCAGGAATGGGGAGCCTTTGGCCTTCAATATGTTGACTTTTCCTTTCCAGCACCCATACCAACCAGAGCTATTGGATGTTGTAGTTCACCAGCCACAGATTTCTCTTCTAAAATGGTATTTTTTTATTAAATAGGCTAAGGAAATCACAACTCATTTTAACAATGTTTTATTTTTTAAAAAGCCACACTGGTATGCTAAGCCAACAAGGAAATCACAATATGGCGTAGTATGACTACTACTCCCATAAACCTTCAAAAACACTACTTTCCAAATATGTTTCTTGTATTTACTCCCATTAGATGGAGTATTGTACCAGTGCCTTGTCTTGGATAGTAGATATCTTGGCCCAGAGTGACATAGCAAAAGGAAAACAAGTTCCTCCTATTAAGAAAAAAGGTAAGTAGACAGGAAAATTCAGAAATTCTTAAGGATATGTATAATTAATGGATAGATGAGCATTATTCTGAGTACAAGATAACATTTATCCATGCAGATCTCTCAATGTGCATGTTTGCATGTACTACATGCAAACTCTACGACTCTACTACTATTTCTTATGGGGAAAGAACTACAGAAGAATTGGCAGATTATTGAACAAAATCTTCATAGACATGGGGATACTTAGTGCCTTTTCATATTTTCATCTAGAAGGCAAAAAAATTGAAGAAGAATACTCCAAGGCCTCTCTAGATTTAATGAGGCTACCATGTAACAGAATCTCTTGCAAGAAAATTAGAAGCCCAGATGTTTGTTTTCACTGTCCTCTGAAGATATACAAAATAAGTTGGGTTCAATAATACATTTCTCTGGAAAGCTTCCTTACTGGTAAGGGTGGTGAAATCCAGAGCTGAAGTAACCACCTTATTCCAAAGTTCCATCATACTTAGACCAACAAATAGACAGCAACTATTAACAGCAACTTTTTTTCTTTTGTTTGGTTAGGCTATGTTGTTCCAATATCTTCACTTGATGTCATTATATTTATTTGCATTCTTTATCTTTTCATTATCAGCCTTCTTAGGAAAGATGTGTCACAGTAGCTATAGATCTACATGATTTACACCTTCTTTTGGGCCACCTCCTACATAGCTTTTTTGGTGAATCTTTATACCATAATTAATTCTATGAATTCTGATGGTGCTAAAGAACCACTATGGATCTTCCCACACCCTCATTGTGAACACGGAGAGGTTAGAACTCCCCATCTGAAGTAGTCTTTTTTCACAGCTCTTGCAAGAAAAGAATGGGGAAAAATAATCTGGAGGTTGGGGTGCTACGAGGCAAACAAAATCACTATTAATAGCCAACATGGGTTTGTCAAAAACAGATCATGCCAGACAAACCTTATTGCATTCTTTGATCAAGTGACAAATTAGTGGATCAGAGGAATGCTGTGAGTATAATTTATTTGGACTTCAGTAAGGCATTTGATAAAGTAGATCACAACCTACTACTCGATAAGATAGAAAAATGTGGGTTAGACAGCATCACCACCAGATGGATTCATAGCTGGCTGACCAGCCGTACTCAGCATGTGGTCCCCAATGGAACTGCATCTACATGGAGGGTGTAAGTGTGTAATGGGGTGCCCCAGGGCTCTGTTCTAGGCCCAGTGATCTTCAACATCTTCATCAACGATTTGGACGAAGGGATAGATTGGGAACTCATCAAATTTGCGGATGACACCAAGCTGGCAGGAATAGTCAACACTCCAGAAGACAGGCTCAAGATACAGGAGGACCTGGACAGACTTGAACACTGGGTGCTATCTAACAAAATGAAATTCAATGGTGAAAAAAGTAAGGTACTACATTTAGGCAAGAAAAACCAAATGTACAGGTATAGTAGGAGGTACCTTGCTCAATAGTAGTAACTATGAGAGGAATCTCGGAGTCCTAGTGGACAATCACTTGAATATGAGCCAGCAGTGTGCTGCAGCTGCCAAAAAAGCCAACTCAGTGCTGGGCTGCATTAACAGAGGGATAGAATCAAGATGACATGAAGTATTAATACCACTTTACAATGCCTTGGTAAGGCCACACTTTGAATACTGCATCCAGTTTTGGTCACCACGATGTAAAAAAGATGTTGAGACTATAGAAAGAGTACAGAGAAGAGCAACAAAGATGATTAGGGAACTGGAGGCTAAAGCATATAAGGAAAGGCTGCTGGAATTGGGTATGTCTAGTTTAATGAAGAGAAGGACAAGGGGGGACATGATAGCAGTATTCCAATATCTCAGGGGCTGCCACAAAGAAGAGGGAGTTAAGTTATTTTCCAAGGCATCTGAAGGCAGGACAAGAAGCAACAGATGGAAACTAATCAAGGAGAGAAGCAACCTAGAACTAAGGAGAAACTTCCTGACAGTTAGAACAATTAACCAGTGGAACAACCTGCCTCCAGAAGTGGTGAATGCTCCAACACTGGAAGTTTTTAAGAAGAGACTGGACAGCCATTTGTCCGAAATGGTATAGGGCAGGGGTAGGCAACCTTGGCTCTTTTATGACTCGTGGACTTCAACTCCCAGAATTCCTGAGCCAGCCATGCTGAGGGGAAAGGGAGAGGTTTCCAAGCTGAGCCATGCTGGCTCAGGAATTCTGGGAGTTGAAGTCCACGAGTCATAAAAGAGCCAAGGTTGCCTACCCCGGTATAGGGTTTCCTGCCTGAGCAGGGGGTTGGACTAGATGACCTCCAAGGTCCCTTCCAACTTTATTATTATTATTATTATTATTATTATTATTACTGCCATGGCATTCCTTGAAACATGAATAAACATTTTTCTGTTATAGGATTCCCACTGAAGAACTTTTCAGTGGTTCTGAAATTTCTAGATTTGCATAGTATTGATTTAGAGATAGTTTTACTTCTATCTGCTCTTCATCTCCAGAAAAGTGTTACCATTTTAAAAAAGCAATTATACTTTTTTTAAAAAAAACAACAGTGCTTTAATTGTACATTCAACTGATGTTATTTATTTACTTAATTTCTATACTATCACAATTCACATTCTTGACTTTATGTTCAATAGAGCTTGAAATACAGGTTTAAGAAAAGCATCTCCCTTTTTTAGTTAACTACATCTGCACTGGATCTTATGTATCTGCCTTTGCAATTGGGGCTTATCTGTTTGCCTTTGCAAAACAAAGATGGATGTAGGTAGTGGTGAAAAGGAACACAGCAACGGCTGTGTGGAGGTAGACAGCATGCACTCTTGATTAACTAGATTGTCTAGTTCAGTGGTTCTCAACCTTTTTAATGCCGCGACCCCCAACCAGTCGTAAGTCGAGGACTACTCAACCGGTTGTAAGTCGAGGACTACTCAACTGGTGCAGCACCGTTTGCAGAATGGGACTTTTGATGGGCTCAGCAGGGCAGAGACAGCCTGGACAATTCCTATTGGCTTTTGAAAGCCAATAGAATTAGACTCTATTCAAGAAAATAGCCAACTCAGTGCTGGGCTGCATTAACAGAGGGATAGAATCAAGATCACATGAAGTATTAATACCACTTTACAATGCCTTGGTAAGGCCACACTTTGAATACTGCATCCAGTTTTGGTCACCACCAAAAGCCAATAGAATAAAAGGGAGTAGCACAGCTAAGGAAAAGGGGGAAAAAATGGCGGACTGCGTTGTTTGGCAATCCCCGTGAAATGGTAATTCGACCCCAAATGGGGTTCCGACCCACAGGTTGAGAACCACTGGTCTAGTTAGTACCACTGGACAATCTGAGTTCCATTAGAAGAATGTGACAAATTTATTTATGAGACTTATAAATTACAGCTAGATTACTAAAGTTCCTGAAGGGAACAACCATTAGGTACAATGGCATCCCATGTCTTCTTGGTCCTTTTTATTTCTTTCACAAGTTCTTTTGGTAAAGGCCAAGTAGCATCACTTGGAGGGGTGGAAAGGGGTTGTTAACAATCAGGCTAGTTGCCAAGTGTGGAAGAGAAAAATCAAATTCCTCTGCTGAAGAAAATCCCACTGTTGAAGGTAGTGTTCTATTTTGGAAAAACACTCCCCAACAGTGTTATGAGCACAACTGAGCTCAAAATTTCTGTTGCTAAGTGAAACAGTTATTGAGTTTACCCTATTTTATGACCTTTTTTGCTGCAATTGTTAAGTGAATCATTACAATTGTTAACTAAGCAACACGGTTGTTAAATGAATTTGTCTTCCTCATTGACTTTGCTTGTCAGAACATTGCAAAAGATGATCACATTATGCTGGGACACTTCAACCATTGTAATATGAGTCAGTTGCCAAACTTTGATCATGTGACCATAGGGATGCTGCAATGATTATGTGAAAAATGGCCAAACGTCCCTTTTCTCAGTGCCACGTAATTTTGAAAAGTCATTAAATGAACTGTATAAATTGAGGACTACCTGTATAACTAATGGTAATCTCACCTACAACTTGGTTAGACTGATGAGAATACACTGCCCCCTAATAGATTATCTGGATGTAACAGAATAGCACAGGAGTTCATGTCTTTTGCTGATCTCTCTTCTTACAGACTGAACTTTTCCATGGCACATGAAAAAAGACAGTGAAGAAGAAGTGTCAGCTGCTGCTGTTGACAAAATCCCCAAAGTGTCTCCACACCTAGTGCCTCAGAGAATTAAAATGAGGCTTCAGCAGGAAATAATTAAGAGAATGCAGGATCATGTTTCATTTCAGTTACAAGTACCCTAACGTCTGACTTTAGTTCCCTTCACTGGAAATATCAATTATCTACCTCACAGGATTTCAATGAGAATGAAAGTAATGTGGACAATTAAAACAATAGATAACCATCCTGTCCTATACTTATATTGATACCTGAATCATCTGCTAATTTTGTCTGCAGTCGGTAAAATGGAAGTCCCAGAGTGTTGTAAACCATTCAGAGAGTGCTGTTATATGGAATGGCATATAAGTACTATTGCTATATATATTTGTGTAACCACTGAGATGGGCAATCTTTTGATGGCCACAATTATATTGAGCTCCTCAAAGTTCTACAAGAAGTAATATGATGTAAACCAAATGATACTAGTTTTTTCTGGGGTGTTTAGGAAAATGTTTTTTTTATTGACCATACTGTGGTTTTCCCATGATTCCTGATATAACTTAGTGAGAAATTGTGGTTCCAGTATGGTCGTCAGAGCTTTTGAGGGAAATCTGGATATACCTGGCATAATATTAATGGGACTGGTAAGACATACCATGTCTTAAAGGAATAATTAGGAATTAATGAAAGCCCATACCTCATATGCAGAAGGCCCAGTTCATGGCATTCCTGTCAAAAGAATCTTGATGTAGCAGGAGACAGAAAAGTTTTCTTGCCTGAAAGCCCTAAAGCTATTATCGTTGAAAATAGATAATGCAATGGTATGACTTATTACAAAACAGCTTCTGTATTCTTAAGATAATTAGCTCCATAAGTCTTCCCATGGGCAATCCAGGCTGACATTAATTTCTCAAGTGCATGTTTGCTTGACATCTCATTCCTAGTTATCTTCCAACCAGCCAAGGGGCCATGAACTTGCTACTGTACAAGAACAGTGAGTGAGTGAAGTCATGTGTCATACCATTTTCTAATATAATAATATGTAGAAACTAGAACTTTTCTAACTGATGATACCTCTACCATTTCTACAGGCTGGGATTCACAGATAACAGAATGGTTGACACTTGCAAGATACACTCTTAATCAAGTAAATTACTTTTGTGTCTTGCTTCAGAAGAAAACCTGGTTGGTTTATAATTTAAAAGTATATATTACTGGAAGATTAGGATTCTACGGTTAAAAAAAAAGATCACCCAATATTTTTGATTAACCTATTCAGTTCTGGGAGATACAAATAATATTGTATCCATTTCAACCTGCACAAAAATCCTTTATATGCAAACAGACAAAAAGGTAGCAGTGCTCAGTATCTAATCTGAATTCCCCTCTTAGTACTTTTAACATAGGTGATGTCTGGTCAGTAAAACAAATTCTACTTTTTTATTTGTTAAAAAAACGTATAACAGTATACATTAGATGTCTTTCAGACAGAAAACTAAAAATAGCCATGGCTAGGCAAAGTTAAGTGAGCAAGGGGTTATTGCACTATTCTCAAGTTAAAATTGTTTCAAATGTGTTTAATTTCATTGAGAAATCAATATACATGATATCAGGACATATATTTCCTCCTGGCTATGTTAGGAGCAGCTTTATGAAGACAATAATTTTGAACTCTGCTACTTCCTGCCCATTTCCAAAGCTGTTTTAAAGTTTGTTTGTTAAATCCAGCAATCAGTCCTATCAAAGAGGATCACAGCTCTCCATCATATTTGATATGCCCTGACCTGAAGTCAAAAAATCTGCTGCTCTCTTAATGGAATATTGATTCTTAGCTTTGTTTTTAATCATGGGTGTCTTCCCAGGACTCTGGAGATTACCAAGGGGAGAAAGCAGTAGTTATGGTCAGTTACAGATAATAATATCATTGCAGAATATTATATTTTTAGAAAATAAAATTTGTTCAAGAGAATAATTATAGCATTGAGTTTTCAATGTTAATCTTCAGTCTTTTTAGGATTTTTAAACTGTGAACTGGTTTGTGAACCAAATGGTTACTGAAAGTGTATTTACAAATCAAGCCATTTATATCAAATCAATTTTATGGCTAAATTAATGTTATTTCTTCTAACATTGCTAGAAGTATGTAATAAAAGTGTTAAAATGTATATGTCTGGAATTGTAATAAACAGAAGGAAATTAGTGCTATTAATCATGTGATAATTTATAATATAATTAAATGTATTTCATTAAAAGTTAAGATTTTTTTTAATCCAGAAACCTTCAAATCTTTTTGTACAATAATTTCTGACCATCATCCCCATGAAATTCCCCCCCATAAAGTAAATTGCTTCAGATTTAGAACGACCTTAGCATGGAATCTAATCACATATCACCAAAAAGGGCAGAAAGAAAGGCATGCCTCAGTGTTTCTCACCCTCAAGAATTTAAAAAAATGTGGACTTCAGTTCCCAGAATTCCCCAGTTAATATGCTATACAGTTACACTAAAATTCCAGATTGTTAGAGTGACATGATCAACATGCTAATTTTCACTTTACAGATTTAAGCCCTCCTGTCCCACTCCTTCCCATGTTGAACGTCTTTTTGTTTGTAACAGCATCAAGTTTAAAAAAGATTACAGGCTATTTTACCGGTTATCCTTTCAGAATGACGCAGACCATTTCTGGCAAATTACATATCCTTTTGTGACAGGAGCCCCTTCATTCCCATGGAACAACTTGAAAGGGAACCAAAGTTTCCGGAACTCATTTCCAGTTCTTCTCGTCTACCCCGGAAGAGGGCCTAATCGAAGTACCGGGTTACCGTAGAGATAGGAAAAGAGTCGTATACTATTTCCGACTTGGTCCAAATTGTGACCGTGCTTCATTTAAAATGCAAAGTCGGCTGGTCTGCCGCCAACCATTCCGTGGAGTATGAGGCTGTTGCTTCTGCGGATCTGTCAGCACCGAACTTGGGCTGGATGAGCCGCCAAGAAAACCATTTGACTAGGCCGATCTTTGCCGCAGCGTAAGGTGTGTCTGGGGAGGGTGATTTGTCGCTACTCGATGGGCAGCTTTTTAAAACCATTATATGCCATCAAATCGTTTTTGAATCCTAGCAATCCCACAGATAGATTTTTTTCAATGATGATCTATCCCTACAAGCAGTTTCTAACTACATCATTGTGAGCACAATTGAATAATCAGTGTCTTTTCCTTCTCCATCGTGGCTAGGTACGCTTTCCTTCTTCACTTGGTGCCCTCCCCCCAGATGCGTTGGAGAACAATACCAGACTTCCCCACCAGTGATTGGAACTGTAATTTTATCTGGAGAGCACCAGGTTGAGGGATATTGATGGCGGGGAGGGCGGGCTGCTGTGTTGATGGCAGCAAGAACACATGAGAATAAAGGAGTTTTAATCTTTACCCTGCAATCTGTGTTGGCGATTCAATCAACGACTGCATGCAATCTCTTGTTTTCCCACACCTGCGTTTGTACGTACGGTGGGGAAAAAAATCAGAAGATTCTAGCGATGTAGAATCATTCCCTGCGGAAATGGATGGAGATAGATAGATAGACAGATAGACAGACAGACAGATCGTTTCTCCCTATACAGAATGAATCAGGAAGGGTTGAATTCTGAAAGAGGATGTGGCATTCCGTTTTTGTGCACACACAGTGCGGATTTCTCCTGGGCAAAGGTGTGCCGGGCTGCAGCCTTAGAGACTAATGGGCAATCTCCCTCTAAAAGCGGATTTTTTCTCTTCCAGCTTTATGACTCTGCATCCTTAGAACATCGAAATTGGATGGCTTTCGTTTTCTCCTCTCCCTGTAGATAGTGTGTCTGTCTCTAGTTTCCTATCTCTACAGAAAAGAGAGTATTTCGGATGAAAGCTACATAAACTGTCTCGTCCGAGGGCGGATGAAGTTCACTTCCTACTCGGATCGGTGGAAGGTGTTGTTCCGCCTTTCGGACTTCTTATTCTGGAATAACGTCTCAGCTACCTCTTCATGTTTCTGCGGATGCAGAATAAGAGTGCTATGGTCCCTTTTAGTTAGGAGCCTTGGTAAGGTGGAACTTTTGCTTCCCACTTCATGTGGGCGACAGAATCTGAAAGGCGGTTTTACCCTCCCTTTCATAAAAAGACCTTTCTACACGCGTAGGCGGATATAATCCCAGTCCAGGTTGTTGAATTATTTCCTTTTCTTCCGTCTTTCCTTGGCTGCTACCCAGAATTTTAGATCGTTTAGAAATATGCTTTTTAAGTGTGGCTTGAGGACTCTTGGACTTCCCCAAGACTCTTTACGGGTCTGTGAAATCAAAATGATTCACCAGCTATTGAAAATATTTGCAAATATTTAAAGCAATCATTTTTATTTATTTTTTTAAATAGCGGTTTTTGTGAAAAATACTTTATGTTAACATCCCATGAGTTTTATATTTTTACATGATTCAATAAATATTCTGTAAATGCACTGATTTAAATTTTTATTAGGATAAAAATGGATAAATATGCCCCATACAAACAAAAGTGTTTTGGGATCCTCCATAGTTTTTATAAAAGTGGGAAGGAATCATAAGTGCAAAAAATTTCTTTGATATTTTGAAGATGAGAGTTTTGAACTCCTGGAATTCAGGCAGCCATGTTGGCTAGGGAATTCTGGGAGTTGAATTCTACATATCTTCAAGTTGCCAAGGTTGAAAAACACTGATTTAAAGCCTCTGAGAACAATACTTTATAAATTTAGCTCTTTCTCTTCATGCAACAACTTCTTAACCTGTTCCCAAAGTTCAACACAGGTTCATAGTGTAGGATGTATTTGTTGCATGCTTTCAGTGGGATTTGCTATATAGGGGATCATGGAAAACTAAGCATCACACTATGTTGCTTGGAAGCCAAATGTCTTTTGTTGCTTGCAGAATGCTCACCAGTATGCAGTGCTTTCTCATCAGCCAAGATAAGCGACATGATCCAGTTCTTCTGCCTGATGGTGTGACTGTAGTTCTAGGAAGGGGTCCAGAAACCCTTGTCACTGATAAGAAATGTTCTCGAACGCAAGGTCTGTAGGTTTTCTCTTTTTTTGAAAAGATATCATTGTTATTACAAAGCCTTCAGGAGCATTTTTTTCTTACAAATGAAGGCAAATATATGTGTCCCAAGATAATGTTGCAGGATCCTATCTGGGTTGGTAACCAAGACCAGCGGTTTTGTCTTCTGAGCTTTTGGACTTGTACTGGAGCTCCTCTTCAGGGAACTTCTCTCTAACAAAGTGTGTGCTTTGGGCTGTTTTGTGTGGTATTTGTAGAAGTTTTCTTCTTCTTCCCCAGTTAGTTCACTGACTGTCATAACATTTGGAGTGGCTGAAGTTGTACCATTTTTGAATTCTCCCTGTGTAATATTGCAATTGGAAAAGAATTGGTATTCTGTATAAACCATGTTAAAATTTAGCTAAGATTCAATTCTCTGTGCTGTTACAGAAGCTTGCATCTTTCTCCTATGTTTTTTATCTTTTAGAAATCCAAAAGCTTTAATATTTTCTGTTATCTTGGCTATTTTTTCGTATACAATACAAATTTCATCAGTGTTTCATATTCAGATAACCTTTATTGTCATTTTTTTCCTGTGGGCACAACAGCACACATTAAAAATGAAATTTAGTTGCTTGCTCTCAAGTGTACACATACATAACACACATTTAAAACATACTATATACAACATATATACAGACCTACACTCTTACATACAAGTAACATATAAATATTAATCATTGTCCATTTTGAATACATAACGAAAGGAGGAAGTTTTAGAGTTCACAAGGTTAATACTGTATGGAACAAAGCTATGGCTGAATCTGGATGTTCTGCTTCGGATACCACGGAGCCTCCTCGTACAAGGTAACAAGGAAAACAGGTCATAAAGAGGATGTGTAATGTCCCAGACAATCTTGCAGACCCTGCTCAAGCAACGCTTATATGCTATGTCCTGGATGGGAGGGAGGGAACTGCCAATGATCTTTTTAACCATTGTCACCACTCTCTGCACCACCTTCCTGTCTGAAGAAGTGATGCTTCTAAACCAAACTGTGATGCTGTATGGTAGGATGCTCTCGATCGTCCCTCTGTAGAAAGTGGTAAGGATCGGGGAAGGAAGATGTGCTTTTCTCATGCGACGCAGAAAATGCAGGTGCTGCTGTGCCCGCTTCACCAGTATCTCACTGTTGAGTGACCAAGCCAGCCTACTTGTTAACTGCACCCAGGAATTTGATGCTGGTAACCATCTCCACAAGTCAATTATTAATGCACAGAGAAGTGAGGCTGTGCCTTCCTTTTCTGAAATCAACAATGATCTCTTTGATTTTTCCAGTATTTAAAACTAGACTATTTTCCTTACACCAGCTCACCAAACCCTCAACCTCCTTGCGGTAAGTAAGCACCCTCATTGTCATCCTGAATAAGGCCCACTACTGTTGTGTCATCTGCGAACTTCACAATATGGTTGGTGGCAAATCTAGCACTACAGTCATGGGTGAACAGCAGCAGACTTAGGACGCAGCCCTGAGGAGAACCTGTGTCAAGAAAATGGTATTAGAAATATTTGTTCCAGCTCGCACATATTGGGGCCTGTTGGTAAGAAAATCAAGAATCCAGTTGCACAAAGGAGTGTTTAAGCCTAAAAGGCCCAGTTTATCTACTAGATGCTGGGAAATGTGTTAAATGCTAAACTGAAGTCGACAAGCAACAAACACACAAGTATTTCTTTCCTCTTAAGTGCCTCAAGCTCAGATGGAGAACAGAAGAAATAGCATCCTCCGTAGAGCAATTTGGTTGGTAAGCAAACTGAAGGGGGTAAAAATCTGGTGGGAGGCTAGATACAATAATGTCTTTTATCAGCTTCTCAAAGCATTTCATAATGATGGATGTCAGTGCAACTGGACGGTAATCATTGAGGCCTGTAATTGTGGACTTTTTTGGCACTGGCAAGATGATGGCCATCTTAAAACATGATGTGACCACTGCCTGCTGCCATGAGAGATTAAAAATATCTGCGAGAACATAAGTCAGCTCATCTGCGCATTCCGTAAGAACACGTCCAGGGATATTATCTGGGTCTGCTGCTTTCTGAATATTAACTTTCCGCAGTGTTTTTTGGACAGAGGTGACATCAAAGCTAAGCACTTGCTCGTTAGGATGGGGCACAGCTTTCCTAGCAGGAGTGCTGTTTGATGCCTCAAATCTTCCAAAAAATGTATTCAGCTCATTTAGGAAGTCC